ACGGCAGAACTTTTGAAAAATGCATTTTGGGAAAAAATGTTCCAGACAAAAGTGCAAGGATTTTTCCCTGGCTATCTGATGGTGACCTTGGATTTGACCTTGACTTTAACCTTCAAGGTCATTTGAAGGTCAAGTTAAGTTTTCTAAATAGGAACCCCAATTTTTTATTGCGGATTTGGAAAGAGCAGGAAATTTTACGTTTAACTATGACCTTGACCAATTCCTTGACCACGACCTTCGAGGTCAAATGTGGGTCGAGTTCCAAAGGTCCCGGTGCTTTTGTCTGAAACATATTTTCCCAAAATGTTTTCTTCGAAAGTTTTTCTGCCGTACCGGGACTTTTGGATAATCCTGTATATATAGTTCATGCCTCAACAATTCCTCATACTGTCCGTTGTCAACAGTAGACGTTGAACGGTCATTTTCCCTACACAAGTTAATATTAAGTCATCAACGTCGCCGTGTCACTAAAGAACACTTAGAAAAGCACGTAGTAATATGTTATAACTCCTTCCAATATGCCACGGAAGCCTTCTCTCAACACTAAGGCTTATCGGGTAAGTGTGTCATACAAATTTATACAGGTATTTTATCGTCAACTTAGCCTTGCTCTTTGGCAATAGGACTATGTTGCGACATATTTTCATTCGTGATCTAACTACGGTCCTGTTAATCTCCGCGCAGCACTAAGCCTAGTAATAACAGTCATAGTTTTCATATGTGTATACGGAGTTATAAATTTTTCGTTCGAATTAAAGTCGATTACCGATAATAAGATTAGCCAAATCATTTATGTATACACTAAAACAGTTGGGGTCCAAGATTTGACCCTTGTGGCACGCCCGAAGTTGAAAAATAATAATTCGATGTAATACCATTGTATGTGACGTATTGCAATCTGTCAGACAAATGTAAAAAACTTTAAAGGTAAACTCAAGTTTTTTTCACTAAAATTTCGTGTGGTTTGTATCGAATAAAATTTTATTCATTTAATTTAGTTTCATTAACGGCATCATTATCGAATAATCAATTTCTCTATAGTTAGAATTTTGAACAAAAATGTATATTTGTTTTCAACTCTCTTCGACGTGATCTCCAATCATTCGGCCGCGGGGTTCGAACCCGTGGTCTCACCAACAACGACTCCGATGCGCGCTTTCAACAGAATTTTAAAACAGTTTAAAGTAAACAACTTATTATGGAAAACACCGTTGAAGAATATTATCCTGTATTATTAATAATATACCACCCCCTCTCCCACACAAGTTTTAGTGAACATCTCTGTGGTTCGTGTAAAGTTCTGACACGTAGGACGGCGTGGTCGTGTATGCTGGAGGTAGGGAGGAGTTGATTTTCAATCTTACGACATGATAATTTAATTTGGAGTGAGTGCAATGTGGCAACACCACCGGAGTGCTGATACTTTTGTTATTGCCGAGGGAAGCGTTCGTGAATAATTCTGTTTGGGTTAACTTCTAAAAATGTGATTTGCGGAATTGTAAAAGAAACGAATGTAGGCGTTAGAATGTAGAGAACTTCATTACCGAACAAAAATGTAAGTTACAGAAATTTAAGTCATTTTAGCACATCCCATCCGATCTTTTTTTGTTTTATTGCATAACGCCAGGACCGCGACGACTCTGTATTCAATTTAAGTTTCTTTCTGCAGTGTCAGATACACGCGGGCTCTCTCCCAAGTGGCAATACTGTATAACTTACTTTCTGGGGAATGTGGTCAAAAAAAGGACGGATACGAGCGCGATATGCATTTCTGGAAACATTCGCCGGGGAGAGAATTTTCATACTTGAAACCGACGTCGCCAGTGTAACACTCGACACGCTCTACAAAGTTAACAAACTCGATTCCATTAAAAATTAATAAGTAGGGATAAAAAACACAAAGGCAAATCCTTTTCAGAACCCCATATCAATTGAAGACAGTCGATACACGCATAAGAGAGTGCTCAGTCATCTGGAAGGACTTTTCAGATTCTAATGAATGCATACCGTTGTATAAGAAATGCATATTTTCGTAACTAAGTTGAAGATGTTCTAAGTTCAAAACTAAGGCTGAAAACTTAGCGCTTTATGAAGTTTTCCGTGATCTAAAGTGATTCCCGTCGACTCCCTTAAAAGGTTGCTCATAATAGTCTTTTATTCCTGTGCAGCTTATGCTTTAAACCGTTATAGACAAATTCTTCGCAATGTTTACAAACATTCAGAAGCCATAATCATCATGACATGTAATTATTGCAATCGTCAGCTCAATTGAAAGATTCTAGAATAATTATCAAGTCAACTGTGACGATAATAAAAACCAGTTTAATGGTACATATTTAAACGCATTCTTTATGCTACGGTCACACGGAGCGCTATGTTAGCTATGTTCGCTGAGTTAAAAATAGCTACATTCGTTACGTTCGCTATACTCTTTAAAAACAGCCAATATTACGACCATTCTGACCGCTGTGTTAGCTTTGTTTGCTACTCATTCTGCATGTTTGAAGTTAGTCACAATTGGTCGAAATCATACAAAATGCGTACGATATGTATGCTAGTTCGCGATGGTAAGTACGTCAAAGCAAATTTGATTAACGGCTATATTTTTAAAACATATAAGATGCTAGGGTTACACAGGGCGCTATGTTAGCTATGTTAAAAATAGCTCTATGCTAGCTATGTTCGTTACGTTCACTATACTCATTACGATCACTCAGAGCGCTATGATAGTTTTGTTTATTATTCATTCTGAATGTTAAATACGTCAAAGCAAGTTTGATTAACGGTTATATTTTTAAAACGTGGCTTAGTTACATTGATGCTAGGTTTACACAGGGCGTTATGTTAGCTATGTTCGCTGTATAGCTACCATTATTTTAAATGTCGAATGCACCTTATATTTCGCATGCGTTCTAAGTAGTCGCGTCTAAGGGGACACAGGACGTTGTGCTAGCTATGTTCGTTATGTTCTCTATGCTCGTTAAAAATAGCCAACATTACGACCACTGCGCTAGCTTTGTTTGTACACTATGTTCGATATGTGTAAAAAAAAACAGTCACCATTACTTTAAACGTCGAAAGTAGGTTATCTTTTCTTTTCGATACGGGGCGTTGTGCTAGCTATGTTCGTTTGCTATACTCGTTAAAACATACAATATTACGACCACTTAGAGCGCTGTGCTTCATTTGCATGTTTTAACTTAGTCACAATTGTTCTAAATCATATTCGTGGTCATATAAAATGCTTACCATTTGTAAGCTATGTTCGCGATGGTATGTTGGCTACGTTTGCTACATGTGTTAAAAATAGCTATTATTGTCTTAAATAGACGTGGCCACATAAAGAATAGCGAATGCTATGTTCGTTATCTTTACTGTGCTTTCCAGCTTTATTTAAAATAACCACCATTGCTTTAAATGGGCGTGGCTACACTTAATGTGATAAAGAAACGGCAAAATTTTATAAATGTATGTTTACGTATCATACGTATTTACATTCTTAATATGCAAGCTTGCATAGCTAATAAGCGCTCTATGCGGCCTTGGCAGAAAACTATTTTAATTACATGTAGCGTGCATAGCAAACGCAGCTAGTTTAACGCTCGTGTGATTCTGTATAGCGTGTATATGAACAAAGCTAACACAGCGCTCTTTGTTGCTCTAGGATGTATCTTTCTTCTCCTTTTCTTACAATATAATGTGTTAAGTAGGAAGGAAAACATATGCTTCTAAAAGAATCATTGTTCCAATAGATTTTCTATCGACCAATGAATGCACAAATACTCAGTTTTTTGTTTTACTAGGTTTTATTAAAAAAACGTAAAAGCCCCTAAAAATTGGAAGCGCTGCATCACAATCCGAACTAAATCTTCGGATATAAACAAAAGGCCTCCCCTTGCAAATAACGAGTGCGGGAGTAATCTGACGTTTTTTTTTTGGTGGGGTATCGCTTTGTACTTGCAGTTGACAAACGAAACCTATGGATGCGTTGCCATTGAAATAACCCTCCGAGAGTCATCTACGTGGTATATTGGCAATCATTATCTGTTTCCAGTTCACATGCTCTACAGATTTTCAGGCGTAGCGCCTAAATTAGTGTTAGTTTGTATGCCTCCGGTTGCACCATTCATTATTAGGTGGACTGTACCGCCCTGCAAATAATTACCTAGTACGCCATAAATCGTGATGATTCCCAGAAAATGAAAACTGTTCGAGTGCACTGTATTTCAAAACCACTATGTTTATGTTCTACCTTCTTTTATCGAATACAGCATTATTGTTTTAGGACTTACGGATATGTGTACGGTGTGCTCATAAAGTAACGTATAAATTCTATAAAAAGCCCGATTAGAACCAACAAGAACCGAAATGAACATCAATCAGGGCAGGCCTAGAATTGTGATAGCGGGTCCGCCCCCACAGATCCTAGCCCGAGAAAATAACGGCAGGTCAAAGATTCCTAGCTAAGATTGCGTCTTTCTGAAACTGGCCACGACTTAACAACCCAAAAAATCATCGAGCTATAAATATCAGCACGGGCCGTAATAATTTATAAAATCATTAAGAACTGAAATAAACATCAAGGCGGGCTTGGCCTTCTGATAGCTAATCCGCCCACACAGACCCTAGCCCGAGAACAAGTCAGGTCAACGACACGACACAACGACCCGACACAACGACCCGGAAAACCATTGAATGTTGAAAAAAAAAATAAAATTAGCTCTTTTTGAATTGTTTGAAAATAACGAATATTATGTGAAAATTAATTCTGCCCTTTATAGTGTTTGCTTTAAAAATAAAATCCTGGGGCAAACATTTCCTCTCGTTTAGTTGTTTACGCACCTTAAAAAAATACATTAATACCTTTAATTATTCGACGTTGTTTATTTAGGCACACATTGTCGCGTTAGTTACTATTTATGTCCTTAAAGAGGCTATGTCCGGCACTGGTCCTAATCGTGATAAAAATATCATTCCTTTAAACAGTTCTTTTGTTTCAGGGGGACGAATCGTGGTTACCTACGGAACCGGCGAGTTGCATATCCGCTCAGCTCGTGCGGAAGACGGTCTAGCCAGATATTCATGCTTGACGCTGCATGCATTGACCCAAGAGAGGAAAAGAAGTTCCCCCGCCATGTTGACTGTAACAGGTAGGTATAAAATTGTAATAAAATCGAAATGAAATGGGTAAATAATTCGCATTCCGCCAGATCAATTATGCACCCCTTTCCTAACCAAATTGATACACAGGGCGTTCCCTTATATCTATTTTCGTCGCTTGTTGCAGATCCGATAAGGAGTATGGCACCTAGACTGGCACCTTCCGTCCAAACCACTGTTTCAGCAGACAGAGAGTCTGACATCCATTTGACCTGTTCTGCCCAAGGAAACCCCCCACCAGTTTTTAAGTGAGTGTTATTTTTAGAACCGCCACTGTTAATTACAAAAAGATGTGCAAATCTAATGCTAGGGTCACACAGGGCGCTACGTTAGCTGTGTTCGTTAAAACTGTGCGCTATTAGGTTTTAAGATTTAAAAAACATATAAAGACGAATCTCTTTAGAACTCAGTATAAACTGGAGTTGCTTGAGATAAGAATTAGTATTTAAAATGATTCTTCTCAATTAAACACATTCTTTATGTTAAGGCCACTCAGGGGTCTGTATGAGCTATGTATACTAAAAACGGCCACCATTGTTTTAAACGTCGAACATAGCTTATGTTTTGTACGCTATGTTCGTTGCGCCGCTATACTCGTTAAAAAACGGCTAATATTACAACTAGCTTTGCTTGCTATGCTTGCTGCATATTAAAAGTAGTCACCATTATTTTGGACGTCGAACATAACTTACGTTAGCTATGCTCGTCGCTATGCTCGTTAAAAATAACTAAAATAGCTCTGTTTGAGCGTTCGCTATGTGTCTTAAAAATATCCACAATTATTCTAATTTGATTACTGGCTATATTTTTAAATGCAACTTAGCTACGTAGACGATGAAACCACAAAGGGCGCTATGCTGCTATGTTGGCTATTTTTACTATGTGTATTAAAAATAGCCATAATGTTTAAATAGATATGACCAAAGTAAGTGCGAACGATATGTCTGTTAAGTTTGCGATGATAGATACATAAAGAGTAATGTGTATTCATTGTGTTTGCTATATTCGCTAGCTAACTCGAAAATGGCCACCATAGTTTTAAATTGTCGTTGAAATCAAGATTGCCACGAGACCAGTGCATATTTATGCTTTTTTACTATTAAATTTACTAAACAAATGTAAAATTATTTTATTAAGAAAAAAATACTGGAGCACAATATACAGGGTGTAACTAAATAAGTGTAAAACATTTAAGGGGGTGATTCCTCATCGAAAAAAAGATAGGATCTTTCATATAAAGAAACTTCATTGGAGCATCCCTTGTTAAGATACAGCCCCTTAAAGGGGGTACATAAAATTTGTTTAACAATTTTTTTCACAAGCACTAAACAAGTTACAATATTGAAATTAACCTGACATTTTCTACTACCAAAAAGACACTTAGCCAGTAATTTATTTGGTTTACCCCATTGTTGTAAGGGGTGGAAAACGCAACCCCTAAAATTTATTTCCAAAGTAACTTTTTGTCTTATTATTTGTTTACCATTTAAAAATTTATTTCCGATAGCCTGTTTCATTCTAAAAAAAAAAATGTCTCTTGAATTTTTTGCCTAAAATAAACCAGTTCGCAGCAAAAAATTATTTTACGAACAAGATACATATCGCCATAAAACGAAAATACGAAACTAATTTATCTAGTAGGCCGCTATTAGCGATACTGACAATTTATTTATTAGTTTTTCTACATGTTGTATGTTTTGTTATTAATAAATTAGTTTTGATTATTCCCCTTTAATCATTTAATGCAGGTAGTAACTACAAAATAACAGTAAATCCAGTTCGCATTTATGACGATGTATCTCTGTAGTTGTTCGTAAAATAATTTTTTGCTGCGAACTGGTTTATTTTGGGCAAAAAATTCAAGAGACATTTTTTTTTTAGAATGAAACAGGCTATCGGAAATAAATGGTAAACAAATAATAAGACAAAAAGTTACGTTGGAAATAAATTTTAAGGGTTGCGTTTTCCACCCCTTACAACCATGGGGTAAACCAAATAAATTACTGGCTAAGTGTCTTTTTGGTAGTAGAAAATGTCAGGTTAATTTCAATATTGTAACTTGTTTAGTGCTTGTGAAAAAAATTGTTAAACAAATTTTATGTACCCCCTTTAAGGGGCTGTATCTTAACAAGGGATGCTCCAATGAAGTTTCTTTATATGAAAGTTCCTATCTATTTTTCGATGAGGAATCACCCCCTTAAATGTTTTACACTTATTTAGTTACACCCTGTATAATAACAAATTAATTTATATGACGTAAGGGACAAAATATTGAATGAACTTCTAATCTCAAGTGTCATAAAATGTCACTAGGTAGAATTGTAGCTAGCGCCCTCTAGCGATGGTCGAAAACTCAGAAGATTAGCTTCTCAAGGTCGTTTCTGTAGCAAATTTCAATGCATTACACCGCTTTTTTTTTGGAGATTATGTGGCTAAAATTTGATATGCTCAAAATACGATATACCCATGACCCATAGGAAAAAAATCTGTTTATTTTCTTGATGTTCCATCAGTTCCTGAATTGTGGTAAATTTTTCTAAAACTCCCTGTATATTTTTGTGAAATCGCATTTACCATTTTTTCGCAAATTTAAAAAATAAGGGAAGTAAAATTTTATGTGAATACCTTAAACATAGCTAGTGTAGGTCATTGATGACAGTAGCGGAAAGTGAAGGGCCGAGAACGGCTCCTTGAGGCATGCCAGACTAACTGAGCACAAATTGGTCTTGTTCCAGTTGGTTTCGTGAAATTAATGGCCACCTGCAACCAGTTCACTCGTCAGCCAGATTTGAGCCCTCTCAAGACATTTTGCACATACGAAGACTGAAAGCCGAAGATACCGGCAGGTGGACCTGCAAAGTGTCCAACAATTTTGGAGAACAACGATTAGACATACACCTAACCGTCACTGCTTACCTAAGTGTTCACGTGCTCCCTCAGTTACAGGTAAGATTGCGGTGGCGGATTGGCGACATCCTGTAGTGGGGAATTCTCGCTGATTCCCACGAGACTCTAAAATTTGTTTAGACAACATTGCGGAGAACTCGCAAGTTTTGCAGCTAAATTAAATAAGAGGAAGTCGAATCGCGAAAAGCTCTCCGTACTTTTGTTTTGATGCCAACTAATTTATATAATTTATGAATAAAAAGTTACATAATAAAGTTGTCGACTTTTATTAAAAAAGTTCGCGGCACTATTCTTTAAACGAAATTTGTTTTTCTGCAATTTCCTAGCGAAACGTAATAAATAAGAAATGAGGACGGAGGCAATAGTCCGGTATTACAGCATGAAATCGAATACTAGAATCCTTTGGATATTATCTCTGTAGCTTCCTTTCCGCTTACAGTTAATAAATAAAATAGTATTTATTCCATCTAATTCGTTACGGTTCCTGATCCATTAGTCCCCGTAAGGATCACAAATGGCCTGCATAACAATAAACAACAGGAGTAATTTATTTAAATCGTGGAATATTTGGAAAGACATTTACACGGTCATGCTATCCGCATTTTAAACTCCACTCTCCCTAATCCGAATTCAACTCACTACCCTTTGCATTATATAAACTAGCTCAGTCAGAAATGACCCGTTCATTAATTAATTGATTTTTAATTCAACGAAAAACGTCCCCCAAAAAAAGCTATTACTCACCTCACAGATAACAACTGTATCAACTAGTTAACAAATTATGTTGGGTAATAATATAATCGCCTCTTCATTGAAAAAATTATCGCAGTTCCCTATGAAATCCGTATTAAGAACAGTTCTGTTCATCTCACGAATAGTTTTTAACTCCACACCTGAAGAAAACAGTAGTTTTGAAGTGAAGAATTCATCAGGCCAATTTTGGAGAGCGACATTGTTGTTAAAGAAGAAGAAAAGGAACAAGGGCGATGTCGTCATTAAAGAAGATTCCTCGAAGATTGTTTAACAGAGAGCGGAAGAGATGGAAATTTGATGAAGCAAGAATAGAGCGGATGAGAAATAACCTCCCAACCCAGTTCTTGAATCGCTGCTTCTATGATGTTAGCAGTATGAGGACGGAAGACGGAGTTGTTGGCAATAAACATCAGCAGTAATGGGTACATTCCTTGGAAAGAGTTCATTGGAGCTAAAGCCTTCTCTATCTTACAATCAGTGATATAACGAGCGTTCAAATAAAAACGTGGTCAAGTTGGTTCTGAAAATTTGGACGTAGGGCGTAGCGTATAGCAAATGAACTTAAACGTCATCTGTCAAAGCGCTATATCGCCGCTATCAATTTGAATATTTTCGTTTTAAAAAGCGTTTAAAATGGTGTTTTCTCAAGAACAAAAAGTGTTTATCATAGAGTCCTACTTTAGAAATGGACGCAAGATTGATGGAATATGGAAGTATTCTATTGAGGAATGTTTCATAGAATTTCAAAATCAATTTCCCGGCGTTGTTGAGTACAAAATTTTTCAAAGTGCAGTTCAGCGTTGTGTTAATGTTTTTCGTGAAACGGGCAGTGTAACAAGAAAAGAAGGAAGCGGCCGACCTAAAAAGCGGACTGAAGAATTAAAAGAAAATGTCCAACAAATAATGGAAAATGCGCCAAGAACTTCTGTACGTGTTTTATCACAAATGGTGGGAGTATCAGTCGGTACCTGCCACACAGTGTTAAAAAAAGATTTGCGTTTGTTCTCCTATCGTTTAACTTGTCAGCAAGAACTTCATGAAGTTGATTTTCCGCGACGGGCTGTATTTTGTGAATGGTTTTTAAACAACTACGGTGAACTTCATAATATCACCTTTTTTTCTGATGAAGCCTGGTTTCATTTAAGTGGTTACGTAAACTCACAGAATATGAGAATGTGGTCTTCTGAAAAACCAGATAACTTTTTTGTCGAGGGCCCTCTACACGCTCAAAAAATTGGAGTTTGGTGTGCTCTCAATCGAAGGAGGATTTATGGACCTATTTTTTTTAATGGTACTCTTACTGCGCAAAGGTATAGAGAAGAAATTATCGCTCCTTTTGTTAACCAGCTGGAAGAAAACGAAATTACAAACTTTTACTTTCAACAAGATGGCGCAAGGGCACATACGGCAGGCGAGACGATGAATATGTTGAGGGAAGTTTTCCAAAATCGACTAATAAGTCTCAATGCTGAACATGAATTTCCACCGAGGTCATGTGATATTACGCCGTGTGATTTCTTTTTGTGGCCTTACCTTAAAAACACTATTTTTGAACTGCCTATTCCTGATTTAAACCATCTGCAGGCTCGACTTATAGACAAGATTCGTGAAATTAACAATACCCCGAGCATCTTAGAAAATGTCTTTAATTCTTTGAGGAACAGGTGTGAAAAGTGCTTGGAACAAGGAGGGGGACACTTTCAGCAGCTGCTTTAATTTATTGTTATAACAAGGAGGGGGACACTTTCCGCAGCTCCTTTAATTGTTTGTTATTGTTATCACGATTATTCTTTAAAATAAAGTTATATAGTCATTAACGTTATTGAAACTGACAGCTGCTATACAGCTCGTTGAGAAATGAGGTTAAGTTGGTCGCTATAAGCTACTCCCTACGTCTAATGTGTCAGAGCCAACTTCGACCACGTTTTTATTTGAACGCTCGTTATTATCTTCCACTTCCTTCCAACAATCTGTCAGATTTTTATATCCACACCTGGAGAAGTCGCTGCTTCTATGATGTTAGCAGTATGAGGGCGGAAGACGGAGTTGTTGGAGATAAACCTTAGCAACGATGGTTACATTCCTCGGAAACAGTTCACTGTAGACAAAGTCTTCTTTATCCCACAATCAAGGATATATTTTCTTCCACTTCCTTCCAGAAATCTGTCACGCCTGAAGAAATCCAGTGGTATGGAAGAGACCAATTTTGAATAGCGATGTCGTCATTAAAGAAGAATCCGCGAGGATTATTCGATAGAGAACGAAAGAGATGGAGATTTGACGAAGCAATAACATGGCGGATATGGAACAACCTTCCAACCGAGTTCTTGAATCGCTGCTTCTATGACGGAAGACGGAGTTGTTGGAAATAAATATCAGCAGTGATGTTTACATTACTTGGAACCAGTTCATTGTAGATTTATCCCATCAGATACTCAACGTCAGCATAAGCGGATGGATAGCACCAGTTTTCATCACCTCTAACAAAAACGATGTTGACGAGCTAAACCATGACGACCAGCAAAGAGCCACAAATACTGACATGCTGATTTTGATGTTTTCGCTCAAAACATGATTCATCTATACAATCTGTTGATCGACTGGTACTATGGTACTATGGTCGTCTGGTCACAGCTCATCGTACTGTCCAATTTCCGAGTTGATTGACGTGAATGACTCAAATCTAACGTTCTTGGTTAAAATTAGATGATCTTCCATCTGATGCCATCTCTACTGATCTCACAAAAAGATATGTTGGAAATGCCCATTTTTTCTATTTTTCTGCAAATAATTTAAACATACTGCATAAATTTACGAGTTCAAAAACTATTTTAGGAAAAAAAGTCATAGCAACTTGTACTCCCTAATTTTTTTACTCGCAGTCTCCGCACGCCCGTGTGTAGTGTCGGCGCCTGAACATTATTACACGATAAAAACGTAATGAATCAAAGACAAAGGTAGATGAAACCTCATTCCTTTCCGGCCCTCAGGGCCCGACACCTGAATTAATTCCGTGTACGGCGGGAGCGTCCGAATCAAAATTAAATTAATTTTATTCCTAGGTAATCAACTCGGGGGAGAGTGCAATTTTCAATTGCACAGTGTCCGGATCCCCTGTGGGCAGGATCCAGTGGTTTCGGAATGGGGAGGTGCTTCCCACCGATGGAAATGGAAAAGTTAAGTTGTTAAGCCCGTTAGTCCTGGCAGTTAGCGAAGTTACACGCCATGACAGAGGGATGTACCAGTGTATGGTCCGCAATGATCGCGAGAGCGCTCAGGGGAGTGCTGAACTTCGACTTGGAGGTAAGTGATTATTGTCGCTGTATGCTGTACTCTACATATACAGGGTGCTCCACCTACGAGGGATTCTTCTGTAACTCTGTAACTGTAAAATTTATAAAAAAATGGTTTTAATAAAAGTTGTCTGGAATCATGTGGGCCATGTAAAGAAAATATTTTTAGCTTTACAGGGTGTTCCATTTTGCGTGGGCGCTACATATGTTATTTTAAATGGAAAACCCTGTATATTATTGCGTTTTTGAATTCCTTGGTTAATATTAGGTAGAGTTTATTAAATGTTTAAAACTTAACCGTTTTTCGAGATAATCAGTTGTTTTTGAAAAAAATCACGATTTCAGCTCTCCAAATGAGGCTAAGTAGCGTCTAAACCGTAAGAGTTAGAAACCTGCAGTTTTCACAGTCATCTGTGAGCAAAACGTGTACGTTATTTAAACTCGGAAATACTGAGATCTACATTTAATAATTTTACGAGTTGAAAAACTTTTTTTTTCAAATGGAATGATCCATATCAATTGTCATGGGTGAATGCAAAATTAAATGCCCTTTCGATTGATATAAGATTGTCCATACTTATCTCTTACAGTTTTTCAGAAAAATCGGGTTCTTTTCTTTTCCGAAAAAGTAGCTGTATAAACAGCATCAAGAAGGCCTTGCAATTGTATTAGTACAACGTTGACACATAGGATTTTACAAAAGCACAGCACAGCACATCCTTATCGCATCTAATTACACCAAGAGTTACTAAAAGTAGGCTTTCGGCGGATTTTTTTAAACGGGTCATGTTCTGCGATGAGGCTACTTGTCATAAAAATGGTTTCGTTAATGGTCATACTTGACATTATTATGACAGTAAAACAATTCCTGACAACTCATAGCCAACCATGGTCTTTGAACTTGTGGTGAGCAATTTTGGGAACCCATGTCATTGGACCATTCTTTTTTGACCAGCATCTAACTGGAGCAGTTTATTTAAACTTTTTAACAAACACTCTAGAAGATTTGTTAGTCAGTTTTTACACGAAACTTTTCCCAACAGAAGAATTGGGCGCGAGGAACCATTGAGTTGGCTTTCAAGGTGTCCAGATATGACAAGTTGCGACGGTTGTGTTCCGAGTTTCAGTTTGTTTCGTTTTGCGTTTTGTGTTAGTTGTTGTTAGAGGTTTACTTTTGCTTGTCAAACCACTTTTAAACATGCCAGTAAATATTGACACTGTCAGTCCCAGGCCTGATAAAATGTAAGAGAAAAATGGTTTTGCAAGGTCTTCTTGACGCTATTACATTTTCGGACTTTAGAAAAGCACCTGATTTTTCTGGAAAACTGTTAAACAACTTGTAAGATTATTAAATGTAGGTCTCAGTATTTCCGAGTCCGAATAAGGTACACGTTTTACTCACAGATGACAAGATAGCGTAATTTATGCCAAAACGAACTGTGAAACCTGCAAGTTTCTAAGTCGTACGTAAGAGCTGAAATTATCTATTCAAAGCTATTTACTGTTTTGTGCGAATGCCTACTACTACAAAGTTTTATGAATAAACAAAAAATCGTTGCAGTTTTGAAAAATGATTTTGTTTACATACTTGGATTCTAATAATCTATTATTGCGCCGTTCTGTTATTATTTGACCTGCCTTAGAGAATATACTTTCACTTGGAACAGATGTAGCCGCAATGGATAAAAGTTTATTCGCTAATATTGACAATGTAGGGTATTTCGAGCGTGTGGTTGACTTTTGCGAGAAGTTGGCGTAGAAAAAAAGCCGCATATCGTGCCGACCGGACTATACATGTAACTATACTCATTAACGAATACAAAGTAATGAGTACTCAAGATAAAAGTAACGAATACTAAAAAGTAACTGTATTTGACATCACTAATAGTGACATCTGATGGCAACGCTTAGAAAGACAAGCTTTAAATCTCCTTTTAATTGGTTATTTTATACACAACTTGTTTGATTTTTTCTTATAGGTAGAGGTCCAAATTTTCTAAAAAAAATGGGACGATTGGGACGTCTGATAAAAATCTGAAAAAATTTAGAAAAGAACGGAATATTTCGGGAAAATTAAACTCTGGCCACTATGTTTTCGGAAAAAACATTTTTTTCCGATTTCCCCGGTTATTTTCCGAATTATGGAATCTCTGTTCCACATAACACTTAAAATATAATGGAAACTGCAGTAGTGAAGTTTTGTTGGAGAATTTATTTATCGTACAGCGCCATCCAATGGATATGTACCTAACTCTTTATACAATTTATAGGTCACTTCATTATTCAGTTTAGCGCCATCTATTACACATAGATGACAATATATTTCTGTGGTAAAATTATTAATTTTACGAGATTAGAAAAACCATAAATATACAAAACTAACGATGAAAAATGCAGAAATAAAATAAAAAAGAAATTTTAAATTACCATAACTAATTCACACTAATTTTCAATCACACATACTTGAACACTTTTCAAATGAAGATTTCGTGATAGTAATATACAATTAAAAGCTAATTTACAAATACATTTTTGATTAAGTTAACCTTCAATTTTGGAGGAAATTGTTCTTAATTTCAATAGAAGAAAATAAAGTTAGGGTTAACTACTAATTAGCGATAATCATTATTTAGTTACTCATATGGCGATAACCAACAATTAAAAACTGGGCCTAAAAGTTATGAATATTTCAATAGTTACATAATTTCAAATTTCATCTCGAAAGTGTTTTACCACTGCATTTCCCACCATTAGCTTTGAATATTTACGGTTTTTCTAATCTGAAAGAGAGACTCTTATTTGAATTGAAAAAATTAAAAAAAATAATAATATAGAACTTATACACATAAAATTATACATTGAAAATAGTTTGCTACTGAACAAAATAATACATTAACTTGAGTTTCAGGCTTCTTTAAAATCTGAGCCCATAAATTTCCATTCCGTATTTACCAATGTATGTTATGAATCTTTTGGTAAAATTATTGATGGACCTCATCATAGTAACACCAAATAAACAGTAATGTATAATATGCAAGAATACCAGTTTATTCATCAATTTTGTTAAGTACAAAATGTAATCGTCATATGTATATTGCAAGATTTCACTATTTATAAGATTTGTAGTAACAAAAAAAAAAAAAAATTAATATAAAAAATATATTAGTTTAAAATACATATAACANTAAGATTTGTAGTACAAAAAAAAAAAAGAAAATTAATATAAAAAATTTATTAGTTTAAAATACATATAACAAAAAAAGAAAAAATTAAATTAACAAAAATATATATAACACCACGAAAATACGTACCACTACAAACGAAAACTTAACCTCAAAGAAACTCATGGCGGTCATAGCAGGATCGGATAGACATACTGACATAATGTTATTATTAGGCAACCAATCATACCCCAGGGACTTTTCAGAAATTTCAACACTAGCGCCCTACGATGGATATGTACCTAACTAAGATTTAGTGTATTTTAGGCTGCATAACAAAAATACCTTCAAGATAAACCATAGAGATTCCATTATATTTTATGTGTTATGTGCTCTGTTCAGGTGCACTCAATCAATTTAACTATAAGCTCCAAAATAAATTATTGTCAGTGAGACATAAGTAGTGCCATCTAGCGGTGGTGTTGCAGGAGTTCAAGCTTCCCTTACGTCGCGTCGACGCGACGCGACGGTTCGTAACACGACTTGGTTTTCTGTTTGTTATGAAATTTAAGATTGATTTTATGTGGGCCGGGCTTTGGATCTTGATTTATCTGCTAGTCGATATATCAGAAGATGAAATGGTCCATGCAGGAACATACATAATTGTTCGTGTTTCCTTATTATTCGCTGATTTATTCCCGGGGCCATCCGATAAATCTAGCGATGAAATGATCCATGCAAAAAGGGGGCCCCATTGGAAAGTTTTCAACTTAATTGGTCTTCCTTCCGGGGAATGAGATTTAAAATCTATTATCAGATTAAGTCATATAGCTCGTGAGATTATACGTACATCGTGGCCAGTTGTGCTCGAAAGGCTTGTTATTGGTCATCCTAACAAGCCTGCCGTTAAATTTGTTAAATGTACTGGATTAATGATTGTTCTGTTGTGTAGTGAGAAGTTTCCATACAGGGCTTATTTTATCAGCGCTCTGTAGTTTATCGAACCCAAACAGCGATGCGATACGGTTCATTAGTAAGTTACATTCGAACTAGAATGGCAATTACGTAGGTACTTTGATCCTCTTCAAGCGCTTTCAATTCCTTATTTTCAAACCGTCGGCGGCATCTTTATAGAAATGTTAAAAGGAAACTTATTAGTGGAAAGATTGTAGTAATAACCGAAGCCATACGTTTGAGAGCCTTTTATTCCAGTCGCATCCAAATGAACACCGCGAATTAGAATCCGAGAAACGATTCTGTATTTTGTGCTTTTACTCAGAACTAGAGAAAAAAGTGATAACTTATAAGGCGCTATTCAAAAGGTTGTAACTTGTTGGAAAATCATAGAGCAATAAAAAAGTTAACTGACGTTCGAGGTTTCTAGTTTCAGGAACTGAAAGACAAAAATTATAAAAAACCCAGCGAAAAAAAATGTTTGCTTCTCTTTCGAAAGGGCTTCAATAATTTCTTTGTGGGCAATCCCACCTGTCAGCCCTTTTAGTTTGATTAATCCTCTTTAATTTGAGCTGTTCAAGAGCTTTCTACGCTGATTTGTCGCTTAGTTATCGTCGTTCGAAGCAAAAATGACCTTTTTAGCTTTGATAGAATAATTACTCGGGAGCTAATGATCATACAGAAAATCTAAGCAGGGTCTTGAAAACTTCAAAGTATCCTCTATCCTCTATTAGACGTTCTTATAAAAGGTAAAAAATTGCGAATATAGGGATTTTATACTTTACAAATAGTGAATAGACTAAGGATTTTTTTTTTAACTTCATAGTATCCCATAGAAACCCTCTAGAGTTCAAACCACTGCGATTTTTCCTTCATTGTGATCCAAATGATTGAAATTTTCACATATGCTAAATTAAATGATACATTTTGCATCTTTTATGCTTTTAAAAATATTTTAATTCGCAGAAATCTATATATTTTTTTCATTAAAAAAGAAAAATTTTTTTTAAATATTATTTATTTTTTGTCTCATTTATTTAATAGAAATTATTAATTTACTACACATATACAGAGTGAATGTTAAATGTGAACAAATGTTTTAAATGGCACTACAGTTTACTGTATAGAATATGTAATTAATAGTTTTTTTGTGAAAAAAAGTGTCAATAGAAAACGTATTGAGGACCACTCACTGCTGTTGTATTTACTCGTAACATAATTTGTATATTCTGAACGGGAGGTTATTCATACCTATAGTAGGATCATATTCGATGCAAAGTAATACATCATTGCCTGACAAGGGATCCAGTGCAGTACGGTTTTAAGGGGTTTACAAACTGAATAATTTCTTTATGCATTATGAAGGGATGAAGGGATCAGTTCACGTCGTTCTCTCGATGGTAGTTAACGTCTACAAAATTTCATTGAAATAACTTTAGCCGTTTTCTTGAACACCCTGTATTTCCTTAACGAAGCATTTTTCGAATATAGTGTATATATCAAACTATCCGAAACTGGGCCACCCTGTATACGTACAATTATTAGTTTCGAGAAAATCTGTCGAAAGCTTTTGCGTAACTAAAATATTTTCTTACACTTCTAAGTGAACGGGTTCGATGACTAAGAACTTCAAGTTCAGCCATTAGCAAATGTTGTACCAAGGACCTAAAAAAGTACCACTTCATTATTTTTGTAAGCAATATTAATGTGATGTGAAAAACATACGCAATACCCGTACAATGCTGTGATAGACGAATTTCTTACTAAAAACTACTAATAATTACTTCTTGATGTTGACAATTCTGATATGAGGGTCGTAAATGTCCAGGGGTATAGAAATTATGGTTGATTCTATTACTAAAGTCCAATAATAAATATATAGTTTCCTCTATTACAGCTAAATAATCGCTGAATGGCAAAAGCTTCAACAAAAATGTAAAAGAACTGGCCGAGTGTCACTTGCTTGCATAAAAATCTACGTATTCTAGTTGTAAAAGATCTATAAACTATACTATACTTTCTAAGAGTCTTTAAAAACCACCGGTTGCATCTTAGAAGTAGAAAAGATCGGAAATAGAATACAACGAACTTACAACTAAACAAATTTTTTATATAATAAATCCTATTCAAATATTAATGATTATAGGAACTTTTGGTTTAATAGAAACAATTAACTATTACAAATTAAGTACTAAAATTTGTGTAAAAAACACATTAAAAATAAAAACTAATGTGAATTATCCGAAGGGTGACTAAGGTCTTCTACCATGTGTGATAGTTTTTGAGATGAGATAGAACTAGAATAGTTTTTCGAGTTTCCTGAACCAGATCGTCCTCTGGCAAGTTCTATCTGAAAAATTTTTTACTTATGAAAAATAATATTTAGACTATAATGTCAGTTTCGACAGATTTTGTATTAAAATTTAGACTTTCGACCAATTAAATATTTCCACTATCATAATTACTTTTAATATCTGTGGCAATAAAATTAAATATTCAGCCAAGATTGATAACTAGTTATGTTTGTAATTGTTAATTAATAACATTTAATGATATCGACAATTATCAAAACTATTTTCAATACCGTTGGTAATGACATCAATTAATTTGTTTTAATTTAATTATAATTTTAGTATCGATTCAACCAGAAATGATTTTGTTGAGTTTCATCGACATTGACCATTTATTTTTCTCACAAATTTGAAATTATGGCGAATGCGCTAGAGATAATGTGAAATTTATTAAAATTCTTTACTTAGGCTATAAAAGCCCAAAATATCTTTAATTTTGAATAAGCCAGTGTAGTGTTTATATTCCTAATTATGTTCGGAATTAAATTCCCTAAAGGACTTAGTATTTTCCGTCTATTTTAGATATTTTACTACAAACTTTCTATGAGGTTCGGAAAACTGTAACTAATTACACTACATCCATTTACAACATAAATAAAGTATGTAGTAGAAATTATTTATTTAATATAGGGTAAGAATAGTTAATAATATCTGCATTTAAATTACCCACAAACGGTGTAAAATTTGAAAATATACGCTTTGGTCTTACTTAGTTTTTCATATTTCTTACTTCTATTTAAACGATAAAAAATATATGGGTTTGTATCTGTTCATAATTACTACTACTACTAATTTTTATATTAATTTTTAAGGTGCTTCAGTTAGAGATTATCTCTTTACTATGAATACCAGTGAAGTGGTGACTTGTTATGTACATGTGGATGGAAAGATTATAAAAAGACTATAATATCATTATAATATTTGAACACATTATAATACATATAAAAATTGAGGTCTTAATCTAAATAATTTCCTTGACACATGACTTTGCAAACTGTGTGGATGGATAGATTTAAAAAATATACAATATTTCATTAATATATTATAAATATAATTCATCTAAAAATTTTACATTAAATTTGTTTTACGTAATTTGTTCAGCAATATGTAGAAAATTAAATCTGGCGTGAAAAGGACGTTTTTTTAAATGCACCCGAATGCAGTATTATAATTGACAGGTTGAGAAGTGTTGGCATTGTTCGAGCTTCAATAACGACGCTGTAAAAACGTTATTCAAGAAATATACAGAGCTTTATTTATGGCGTCAGCGTCTACGGTTCCTTTTAGGAATAAACGTTGGGACGTGTCTGCCGATCTGGTAAATACGGACTTTTTTTTCGTTTCAAGTGTGCCATGAAATTCCTTTTTGAATGGGGTTGTATATTCCTAGTAGCTCCTTTCATGAGAGTGTTTCATAAATATGCTTTAATGAAGCAATTTATCACTTTCCTCCCAAGTTTTAATGATATTTTCTTTAATTTTCCTCCGAAAGAAAGTCTTTAATAAGCAGTAGACTCGAAATCGGTGTTATTCAAGTATAAAATTATTTTATGAGAAAAGAGAGGTAACGTGGTTTTACATGATATATTGTTGACGGAAGTCGGAACTCATTTCCGGTTGGTTTTTCGCACCCGCTGTCTGGCAAGTAAACCGCTACGGTGTCGGATATCACCAAAGCGTTCCGCCCGGTTGTTATAGTTTGTCATTTTTACCCTCTAAATTATAAATAAGGACCATCAGATGAATCCACGCAAAAAAACATACCCACCTAGCTTATTTTTTTATAATATCAATATACAGAGTGTCTCATCAAACTTGATAGTATGGGCCTACTGTGAGGATACAAAAAATGTAAATAAAATTTGGAAAAGTGTTATCTAAACTACTAATGACGTCATCAATTATATTTTTTCCAGAAACATACCCAAATTTTTTCCTGTTAAAAAGCTCTCTTTTTTCTAATAAACTTTTATTAGAGACATTTTTCTGTATTACTTCTCGTTTAAAAGTTATAAGCAATATCGTCCTAGAGTCTCAAAAGAAATACCACCTAAAAATCACATTAGCGGTGGAAGGATCAAGTAGTCGTTGGGAAATAATTTGAATGTTCGTTGTTTAAAGTGCATAAATGTCACAAAATACTTGTCATTACTCAATACGAACGTCAAACGTATAACTTTATGCTTACACAATATTTTCTCATTCAGAATAAGTTAATATGTTGCTAATTTACGGCGAGTAACAAAAAAAATCAAGAGCTGTAGTTATATCGAGAAAGGTATCCAGAGTGCCTCATTCCTGATCATAGAACCTTTACAAGATTGGAGACGACCTTGCGACGAAAGGAAGATGCATTTTCTGTTCGAAAGCCGGCTAAAAAAATGGGTGGCTTGGCAATCGGTGGACAGAGAATTTAGAATAGCGTCGGTGTGTAAAAACCCTGCTGACTTAATTACGAAAATAGGAACAAGTTGTGTGGACAATAATATACTTTTACGCCAAAAGTAATAAATGTGAAAGTTTTAATACACAAAGAACTACGCACACAGTTAATGGAAATCGGCAAACCTTTAAATTGTCTGAAAATGAAACGAGTAATAATTTGTTCCCATAGTACACGTCACACGGTTAGTTTTATACGCCTTCTAAGTAATACTGCAATAAACAACGCACATGCACAAGATGCACAGGGTCGGCTTATATCTATGGTTAATTTTCTTAATAAGTTTTCTGGAAAACAGAAGCATTTAGACCATATAAACTAAAATGTTTTGTATGTATTGTATGTAAGTATTTGGTCTTTTTGGAAAGCTGATGGTATGTAGAACATAATACCAAATCCCATCTCTAGCATTTTGTCTTGCCTCGCCATAAATGAAAACAGTATTAATTAATTCCGCGTTACTATACACACATGTCATTTGGAGCACTTAAAAGACTGCTGTAAACAATAAACCACGATAATAAGAGTACTATGAGCACCACAGTGATAATGTTAAATCAATTCAATTCATTCGTGAAGCTACCTAGAGGGACATTCGCAGAAAGCTTACGATAGATTTAACATTATTTTCGGTATTTTAATTATTATTGCATAATTTTCGCTACTTTTTTTAAAGTATTTTTAATAAGTTGTATGCTTAAATTTTTTCTTAAAAAATTAATTATGCCATTATAATCTTTCTGTGAAACGAAAACGAACTATGAGTATATTATCGCCAACTTTGTTGAAACTGAATCTGCCACATATGGCCCATTAGCCCCTAATCCTTACTGAAACTAAGCCAACGTTTTTTTATTTCCAGATACTGTGCCAGAGTTGCAATACACGTTCATAGAGCAGGCGATGAGGCCCGGACCGCAGGTTTCTCTCAGATGCTCGGCGACTGGGTCGCCGCCACCACAGTTTAGATGGTTACTCGATGGGGAACCGCTTTCAGACGTCAAATCCGGGCACAGGTAGTTTACACCTTTTTTTTATAAAGTGTATCCCCAAGTTGCTTAATTGGAGCATGCAAAATTGTCGCCTAATTTTGTGCTTGTTCACTGATTGGACGCTGCAGCGTCAGAAATGTGACGTCACTTTCCTACGATTCTGATGCTTTAAGCGTAACGTAAAAAAATGAAAAGAAAAAACTTTGTTTATCCTGTTCTTCCTCACAATAATATTAAAGTAAAATTGGGATTTTATTTTAATGGATAGGCAGTTCTGTAGTTCTTTGCGGTTTGGGTGGCAGTGCCAACAATCGCCAATGGTAGCGAGCGGCGAAATGTTTTAGACCTGCTCACACTTACGATTTTCAGTCGCGCGGTTGCAATTATACTATTTTGGCGATCACAAAATGATCGAAAATAAAAAAATATGTTTTAAGTAGTTTCCTTAGACGAGGACAAAACGATTACCTTGGTTCAATTTTGCTTAATTAAAAAGTAGCACACTTTCAAAAGTATTTTTTATTTAGTTTCTTTGAAGACCTGCAACTTCTACAGGAAGCAATATTGCTTGCATGTGTGAAGGTAAATTGATCTAAATTGGTTTATTTTCATTCGAAGAAGCTATGGTTGAAGTATCTAAAAACAGAAGCAGGTTGATTTTAGGACGGAAAATTGCGTTTTTAGCGATTTTAATAACAGTAGTGTACCAACCACTAGATACATCATAAAAAACTAACCTCAAAATTTTATGTTATAAAATGTCACTAAGAAAAATAGTAGCAGATGATTAACCACTCTAAAAACTCAACTGTACCAAATTTCAATGCATTCCATGTTTTTTTTAGTAAAGCTATGGCTGGAATTTGATTTTGATATCTAAAAAACAAAAACGGTTGGCTACTTCTTGATCTAAATTTTTTGCGCTCATTGCAAATCATTGTGTAACATACAGGGTGTCCCAGTACTTGATACAAGAAAGACAAGTACAAATAGATGATGTCGAAATAATATTAGTTCTTCATATCAATTTTTTTCATACGGGCCTTCGCTAACAAATTACGGGCCTTCAAAAGTCAAAATTAAAAAGTTATTTTTATGTACAGTCTTTAAACTATTGACTTCAGCGTGATGCAAATTTGGTGATCGATAACATATGCGTACAGCTTGTTTTTGATGTTGTAAGTGAAACTTCATTATGCCCAGAACGCCAGGGATGGACTGTGCCCAATGGTTAACAACCCAGGATTTTTTCATAGATGACGATCGCAATCTGCCTGCATCAAAAATAAGTTCCCTGAAGAATTTGCCAACGATAATACCCTCTTGGCCAACTCGGTAAAATTAACAGTTTAGGAAATATTTGTGATTTTATGTCACAGTGCACATCTAGCGGCGCCTCCACCATTTTTTGTTTTTAATTTTTAATTGGACATAATTACTATGTTAGAACCGTACGTATTTTTAAAATAAGAGCCTAGAAAATCTTACTGCCTACTAACGTAATTTTCACTAACAAAATTTGATAAACCCACTTTACATATAACACAAAACAGAAAAAAAAACGAGAATAAGTGTGTTACAAAAATAATTTAAAATTTTAACCATTGGGCATAGTCCGTCCCTGGCATTCTAGGCATAATGAAGTTTCACTTATAACATTAAAAACAAGCTGTACGCATGTGTTATCGATCACAAAAATTGTATCATATTGAAGATAATAGTTTAGAGACCGTAAATAAAAATAACTTTTTAATTTTCATCTTTGAGGGCCCGTAATTTGTTAACGAAGGCCCGTATGAAAAAAAATTATATGAAGAACTGATATTATTTTGACTTCATCTATTTCTATTCGACATTTTTGTGTCAAGTACCTGGACACCCTATACAGGGTGATTCATTAACAATGGGAAAGTCGAAAGCTGAAGATACTACACGTGAAATGGTGACCATTGGCGCAAACATGCTTTATCTGAAAGTTGTTAGTTTCGGAAATACAGGGTGTTGAAAGTTAAAATTTTAAATCGTTTTTTTGCGATTATTCTGAAAATATGTAGGTTAGAAACTTGAAAATTTGTGAAACTATATTTTTTTAGGCGACGAATAAGATGCGTGTTGTAATTTCAGCATTGCTCATAGAGGGCGCCACTTACGACCAATTTTACCGAAAATTTAGTTAATAACTTTTTACCCTGTATGTCTAACATGAAACTTGATTCAAAACCTGAAAGAGCAATCATTTTTCCATTAATTATGTATTCTTGTTTCATTTCGGTATCTCGATCCGTTTTCGAGAAAAATCGATTTAACGAACACTATGTTTTGATAATACGAGAAATTAAAAGCGAAACAAACCAAGTGTTTCTTCGTGTTATTACAACAATTAACAATAAAACAAATGAAATTCGTAATAATGATTTAAAGTCAGTGTTCGAAGAATCCACCGTTGACATTTACACACTTTACACAACGTTTTCTGAGAGATCTTCGAGTTTGAAACAACATATTGGGATTGCGTTTGACTTCGTTGGCAGCGATTTGTATTCTTTGCCACAACTCTTCACACGAACCAATAGATTCTTCCAAATAGAAAAATGAAGAGGATTGAAGTCCGGACTTCTGGGTGGCCAAGTAAAAATGCTTCCACGGCTTGAAGAAGTTCCACTTTATTTAAGAAGAGACATGTGGTTCATGCACGACGGAGCTCCACCGCATTTTTCTTGGCCAGTGCGTGCATATTTAGATGCAGTTTTTCCAAATCGCTGGATTGGCCATGTAAGCATTTTTGCTTGGCCATCCAGAAGTCCGGACTTCAATCCTCTTGATTTTTCTATTTGGTCTCGAATGAAAGATATAGTTTACAAAGAATCTATTGGCTCGTGTGAAGAGTTGTGGCAAAGAATACAAATCGCTGCCAACGAAGTCAGACGCAATCCCAATATGTTGTTTCAAACTCGAAGATCTCTCAGAAAACGTGTAAAGTGTATCAGTGTCAACGGTGGATTCTTCGAACAATTACTTTAAATCATAATTACGTATTTTATTTGTTTTATTGTTAATTGTTGTAATAACACGAAGAAACACTTGGTTTGTTTCGCTTTTAATTTCTCATATTATCAAAACATAGTGTTCGTTAAATCGATTTTTCTCGAAAACGGATCGAGATACCGAAATGAAACAAGAGTACATAATTAATGGAAAAATGATAGCTCTTTCAGGTTTTGAATCAAGTTTCATGTTAAATATACAGGGTAAAATGTTATTAACTAAATTTTCGGTAAAATTGGTCGTAAGTGGCGCCCTCTATGAGCAATGCTGAAATTACAACACGCATCTTATTCGTCGCCTAAAAAAATATAGTTTCACAAATTTTCAAGTTCCTAACCTACATATTTTCAGAATAATCGCATAAAACGATTTAAAATTTTAACTTTCAACACCCTGTATTTCCGAAACTATCAACTTTCGGGTAAGGCATGTTTGCGTCAATGGTCACCATTCCACGTGTAGTATCTTCAGCTTTCGACTTTCCCATTGTTAATGAATCACCCTGTATATACATCTTTTTATTACAATGATGATTTTATCCCTAATAGTACGGGAGATATAGGTGATAACAAATTCGTGATACATTATTTTGGCCGCATCTCCATTATTATTAGAGATAGACTGTAGTCGTAAGCTATTTAAAAATCTCGTGTTAGCGAAACCTCTGAAACGCGATGCCAAAGTGTCTTCCTGCAACTTTGATTACATTTTTTCCTTCGTCTAAAGATAACGTAGAAAATAGGGTACTACCTGTGGCGGATCGCCCTGTAGAATTTCTTGAAACTCGTGATCCATAAGTAGTCCAATTATATAAATAATACGAATCGCAATTATCAGTCCCATAAGTATCTCGGCGACCCGGATGCCGAAGGAGTATGAAAGAAGGAAATCATTTTTAATTATTTGTATGCCTAAATTAAAAATCTGGCCCGGGGGCTCTATTTTATTCATACCTTCCCGGAGTCGGAAATATCCTGAAAACCAGTAAAATGTCATTTTTAATCTTTTCCGAGGAATGGAACAAGGAAGCTTAGAGAAAAAATAATTAATTCCTGTTTTTTTTTTTTATAGCCCGCTAACAATGAAAGATACCGACGTCCGTTGTTCGTTTGCCTCATGTAAATATTAGCGAGGCCGTAATAGTTTACGGTTTCTCGAATAGCGCCATAAATCCACGGGGCAGAATGCCTAATACAATTACAGGAAGAGCAGCCATTAAGTCTGAATTTAAATTTTCCAGATACGCAATAAGTCAATACGTTGATCAGGCTGGGGATGTGATTAGTCATTTGAACATCACCAACGTACGTGTAGAAGACGGCGGACTGTACAGCTGTCGGGCACTAAATTCCCTAGGATCAACAGAGCACTCCGCTAGACTCAATATATACGGTATGTTTTATTCATTGCTGCTTCAAGAGTGCGCATTTAATACATTTAAGTCTTATATACGAGGTCTCCTCGAATTAAAACAGAACCGTCCCAGATATAAATCTGTAAATTAAAGTGAAATCTCAGCCGTTCTTCTTAATTCCCCGCCAGGAAGAGAACGCTCAGAACACATAGAAACACTATCTAGGTCTCGGGCAAAGTCATATTAACAACTGTTTTTTAATTGAATATTTCATACTAAGAAAATTATTTGGTTTATTTAATAAACAATAAAAACATTTTATTTTACCGATTTTGTTGAAACAAATAAATGGTTTATTTGTTGCAACCAAACGTAGGGTTACGGGTAATAGCAATATTTATTAGCCGTTAATATACATTATTTAAATATATTTGCTACAGTGTCAATGTAGATTAATACATTTTTTGATACACTGCACTTTTTAATGGTTAATAAATTTGTTTAGTATAAACAAATTATTCAAAACAAAATTGTAGATTGAGAAAGTTTACATTAAATTCGCTGCTAGAATTGCAATTAATGTAATTATAATTAATATGTGCTCGAATAAATGTTAAATTTTGTTATAACCAAACGTTTTTCTTAGTATATACAACACCGCAAAATCAATACAAAATCTTATGCGACATAGGTCTGAAATACATTCATTTCAAAGGTAGATATTTAAAAAGAAGCCTAACTTTTTTTTTTGTTAGTGCGGTTATTATTGTTAACGAGTAAATATTTCGTTAAATATAATAATAAATGCAGTGGAAAACAAAATTAACGCATAGTCATTAGAAAGTTCAAAAAATTGTGGTCCTCGTTTACGGCGAGGAATAAAACTCTCAGTATCTAATACACCATCGTTCTTCATAAGAGCTGCATAGTTTTAGCACAGACAATATAGCTTATCGCTTCAGACCGCGCGCTTTCCTGAAGATGCTCGGGAGGCCCCAGAAACTCCTGAAGACACACTATAACTCTATCTCTCTGTCACACAATCAGATAAAAATGGCAGAAACGAAGCTTCCTTTAAAAATACATGGGATTTATCATTATCAGAATAGAACATAAACTGTATTATTCAAATAACAATAATGTGCGAAAGTTCTTCAGGAATATGGGCAAATTTACTTTGGAGGAAGAATCCCGTCAACGAACACTAAAAGTAATATCATTAGAAACCTTAGGTGGTCAGAAATCAGCCCCGATCTCAGTCCTTTAAATATATTTCTGTGGGGACACTTCAACAGAATATGTTACTAAAGACCTTAAAATTATTGAAAGAAAAAATACAGGACTAAATGTTTGATAATTCTGAATTTGTTTTTAACGAAACAAATAGTAAATTAAAAATTTTTTTCAACGGTATTATCATAATAACTTGCATGTGGAAAATTTGNTTTTTTTGAGGAATTTATCGGCAAACTCGAAGACAAAAAGTCGACCTTAATTTGCTACATACTATTTGGATTTTGTGCGGTTGAACTTGGTTCTAAATTTTGCAGTTTAATCAGGATCCTGACAATATCTGATGAATAATTCCGCAAATATTACATAACACCAGTTGCAACTTAAGTTATCTGAAATGCTTTCTGCCGAATAAATTTTTTTCTAAGGCATTTGATCCGTAAACAGCAAATTATTGCATTCAAGAACTTAAGGTGCATTTTTCTAAAAAAAAATTGTTATGTAAGACATCGAAATTGTCACACCGTTGTTTAGATAATTATCACTGTCATCAATTTCGAACGAAAAAAATATGCGTTGTCATTTAAAAAAATAAATTATGTCATCGCTGCCGTAAGTGGATTATCGAAAAAAATTTTCCACATAACAAGGTGCCCTGGATTAAATAAAAATCGACGGGTCTCACCGTTTTTCGAAAAAAAATTGTTTAATAAAAATATAAATTTTATGCAGAACTTTTTTACCACGCTGTATAGTAACGCAATAAACGAGCATTGATAAAAAAGTGTACAAAATAAATCCTAAGTGCGCGTGACAACATTGCCAAACTATTGTTTATATGCTGCTAGGATACGCGTAGGAATAAGGGCCGCTGAATTTGATTCTTCCTAAAATTCTGCTGCTGGTTTGCTCTACCGGCAATTCAGAAATTTAAAACTGCTGTCCTATTCTAGTAGCGGTCTGGAGCGAAGCCATATTGTCTGTGGTTTTAGATTAACACCTGAAAAATGGTAATAACAATTTAATATCTCAACTACTCCCAATTTGCGGATAGAGCACAGTTAGGGAAACAACAAAAACAACAGGAAATGGGTCACAATTAAATATCATTCATACTGAAGTTAATTTATTTTATAAGCTTTGATTTTGGACCTCGCAAAGTTCAATATAAACTGTTTTTTGTCGAAAATGTTTCGGACCAATGTTGTGTAGAACTTTTTCTTTGATACGTTGATCTATACTCAAATAATACTGTCGACACACTGTATATAACGATATTAAATATCAAATAACATTTAAGATGGTCTTTACTATTTTCAAAACGTCATAGGTCCGCCGTTCATCAGATCCATAGGTCCCGTGAAGGCGGTAGCTACGGCGGATGTTACTATTCACTGCCCCTATTCGGGATACCCCATAGATTCTGTCAGGTGGGAGAGACATGGCCAAGAGGTCCTTCAGGATCTCAGACACCGGTTGGATGAAGGTATGCACATAAATAATCTACTCTATCCTTGTTTACAGTTAATACGCTACTGTACAACGGATTTTCAGTTTTTCAACCCAGTTTCCAACTAAATTTAATACACTTTCTTATATTACTCGTTTGAATGGTGAAAATAGTAAACTAGGCGAGGGGGAAGCTTGGCAAATAAATAAATAAAAAAACAAACGGAGTAACTAACATAATTTTTTACGACCAGGTGGATCCCTGACGATATCCCGCCTAGACCCCACGACAGACTCCGGTTTTTACGCTTGCTATGTGACGAGCCGGGAGGGGGAAACGGCGAGGAGGGAAATCCAACTCATCGTGCACAGCCCCCCGATAATCGAACCGTTCTCCTTCTCAACCAGCCTGCAGGAGGGCAAAAGAGCCCAAGTCACTTGCTCCGTTACTTCCGGTGACCTGCCGATACATTTTGCATGGCACAAAGACGGTGAATCCATTCCGGCCTCGCTTCAGGTATTGACGATACACAAATTGTATTAAAATTGGTTATGTTCGTGATAGCTCCCGCTGAAAAATGTACAATAGGGGCGGGCGCGGCTCTGCCTATACGGGCCTCGAACGCCAAATCCCCAAAACACGTCAGCGTCGAGGATACACTGAGAAAAGTGAAACTATTCGGTAAGAGTCGCTGCGCCATCTGCAGGCAGGTACACATGACATTGGCGTTAATGTTTGATGTAAACTGATTAATTTTATTTTGTTTGCGTTAATAACAAGTCTTCAGGCTCTTCTGAAATTTTTCGATAAAACCGATACTTTTCTATTAAAAAAATTAGATGCGTCATCGTTCACTAAAGGGGTAATTGCGAAAATAAAGTAGGCGAATGCCATAACAAATAAATTGCTATTTATCATATTAATAAATTTACACTTTAAGCTGAAGTGTGCAGTACTGAGTAATAGAATATTCTTGTTGGAAGATCACTATCAGACTCAAAAGGGCCATACGAGCGTTGCGTTAAATTTTGCGCTTCGCGTCAACGTTTTTCTCAGTGTATACTAATATCCCCACATATCTGCTCCTATTCTTCGACTACCAATTAAATTTAACAGTCAAACGAGCTGCACTCCCGAGTCACTTATTCACTTTTATTGTTTCTCGAATCGCTTTGTAGCGGAGAAACAGAACTTCGCGCCGAGTGTGGCAAACGAAAATAATGAAACTGTTTTTCTGTTGTACTGCCAAAGGTGGAGGAGCGGGCGGCTGAGTTCTACAGTGTGTTAATATTTAAAGAGGTGTCTTCGAGGCATAGCGGCGCTTACACTTGTGTGGCCAGCAACTCGGCTGCCAAGGCGAACTACACGGCGCAACTGATGGTCAAAGGTAAAACTTATATCGCGCGCCCTATACGGAGAGTGCAACTTTGAATGGGGGTCGCATTTATGCGGAGGCGGCTTTTGACCTTTAGAAACCTAAAATATATGCGATTAAATAAAACGGTGACATTCAGCCATTTTCGGTTCGCCGTTTGTTTTTTACTCGCTAGCGCCCTGTTGTCATATCGTGTCAAGTGGATTGAAGTGTAGTTCACCCTAACTGGGACTATGTCAGAGGTCATTGACACTGAGATTCACAAACTAAACAGTATGCTTTAAAAAAAATACAGACAAATTCTTTTTATAAAAAATTTGAATTGATTAAAAAACACTTCAACATTTCATTTCAATAACATTTTTTGATGTTTCGACCACAAAAATATGGTGACTTGTCTCAAGGTCATAAAAAAAGCAATCTGTTCCTACAAAGTCGTTTTCCATTGCAGTTCCCTCTCTGTCACCTCGTTAGTTTCATGCAATTGGTTTAAAAACATGACAGGCAACACTGATAAGCGCGCACATACAACCGAGTACGGGCGCTGCCCAGTGGCGGCGTAGACACGTGAGATTCGAAAAACGAAGGGTGTTCAAAATTTCACGCAAGAAGTAATTTTGATAGAATACTTAGGTTTTGTAATTAAAAATTGTACATTTTTTATTGATTCGTAAAGTGTAGGGTTATGTATGGAATAGCATATCGGGTAAATGGCCTTCACAGCTTTGCTGTCAGATACGCAGTCTTTTGTCGAAATTTTCCATGGCCGTTTTGCATAAATGCAGCTTTGATATAAAGCTCCTTCAAGGCGTGGATGATCGTGGGCTTGTTAGCATAAATCTTAGATTTCAAAAAACTGCAATGAAAAAGGTCTAACGGCGTTAAATCTCAAGATCTGATCAGAAAAAACGGGAAATTACACCACCAGGAAATGACTCGCGCAGTAATTGAATTGTTTCTCGGGATGTATGGCATGTGGCACCGTCTTGATGAACCCACATCTCGTCCACATTCAAGTTTTGCAATTTGGGCACAAAAAAGTGGATTATCATGTCGCGACTAACTGTTATTGCCTAACCAGCCGCATTTTCGAAGAAAAATGGTTCGATGATGCCTCCAGTCTAAAATCCGCACCAGTCACATGTTTTGAATCCATTTGCTCCGTAACAATCACTCGTGGATTATCTGAACCTCAAATGCGACAAAGCCATCAAGATGAAAATGAGCTTCATCGCTGAAGATGATTTTGTTCAAAAGATGCACAATGAGACACAGTTTTTTTGTATTTTTTTCCGTAGAATTGAATGGTGTAATAAGTTTTTTAATTATTTTTAATTTAAACAAATTATCAACAATTACTGAAAAATTCATTGTTGCAAGTCATTTTTTATTTTTTTGCATTTTTGAGCATGTTTTTGAACTGTGATTACAGATTTTTTTATTTCACCGAAAAGTATATGTCAAAATGAAAAAAAATGATCACCGGCAGAACTCTGTACGATGATTTTTCAAAGTAGAATTTTTCTTTGCAAAAAAGTGTTTCAGACCGGGAAAAATGACTATCTCGGAAAATTCTTGATTTTTTTTATCTAAAAAATTTTGTGGTTATTTAAGACACAGAAAGGTACACTTTCACAAAGTGTCATCAAAATTAAATTATTTTTGCGGAAATGAGAAATAAAAAACCAGAAAAAAACTATTTTTCGCATTTTTCTCTGAAATTTTGAGGTTATCTTAAAAAGTGACCCCTACAAAAGTTGTAGATTTTTGAATGATCTACAACTTTTGTATTGAATACTTTTTTGTTTAACGTGAACTTTCGCCAGAAATCCAAATGATACAATTTTTAACAACTTTTCAACCCCCCAAATCAACCCTCCGATGCGCATTTATTTTTTCAGGTTTATTATAAGTCCAGGTAACCATTTTTTTTTTCTCCAAGCGTAATTTGGTTGGACTAAGTGTTTAAGATCACTAATTGATCCAGTCTTCCTGAATTTTTCAATTAGTCTCCTCGCATTTGGTGAAGTTAAGCTATTTCGAATTCCGACCATATTTTGTACGAAAACTGCTTGTACCTGCCAAACCTTCATTATTTTTTAAATATTGCTCAATGAAAACGCGTTGTTCTTTCGTGTAGTGCTCCATTTTTAATAACCCTCACCTGTCAGGTGTCACGTTAACTTTTTTTCGTTGGCAACACTTTGCCGCACAAATGGAGCCAAATTCAAATCTTGCGTGAATTTTGGGACACTCGATATATCTAATTTGATTTGAAAAAAAATTACTTCAGAATACTCTTTTGGGGAACATGTATATTACCTCTAAAAGCTGCCTCTCCCTCATTTAAAGTTACACTCTACAGGGTGCGCTAACAGAAATGACTTTTATACGAAAAAATATTTCTCGATGTACCGCCCCTGAATTCCTTGTATAGATTCCAATTACAGTCGCCGGTCGCATTGGTAATAAGTGAATTGTATTTAGGGGGGGAACGTGCTCAAAGGAAATTAAAAGAAAGCGTTTATAACCCGGCCGGTAAAGGTGCCAGCATTTTAATTTGTTCAGCAGATTTTGATCGAGCACGATTTCCATTCCCTTCAAACAAATTGAAACTTGCAAAGTGGCCATCTGACGATATATTTTCATTACTTCCGGAATGTTTACACAAACGCACAAAATTGCAGGTACCTCCGAATTTATTCGATTTAATTCCTTTGAGGACAGCTTAAGGTTAGGATTTCCTAACCTAATTGTATCTTATTTAATGTATTTTATTTATACGGGTGTCTCACGGTGACGGCCCATTACAATTATTTCAGAGACCATTTCGATTTGAATTTTTAAAATGTGGGATATCGGGTTTGCGGGCATGCTCTTCTCAACTAAAACTAAAATAATGGCGTCCACGTACCACTTCCGGTATATACTATAAATATTGTTGCTTCATCTTTCTTACTATAAGATACACATGGTTTGAAGCTAGTCACTGTTTCTCTCCTTTTTTTTGAAAAAAATTAAATATCTCGAAAACGGTTAATTTTAGGAATAGGGAAACTTCGTAAAAGTCCACTTAAAGCAACACGTAGAATACAAAATTGTAATAATATCTAGGGTGTTCCATTTAAAATAAGCAAGTTGATGGCGACATCCGGTATAACCGGAAGTGGTACGTGGACGCCATTATTTTAGTTGAGAAGGGCATGCCCGAAAACCCGGTATCCCAAATCGAAGTAGTCTCTGAAATAGTTCTATTGGGCCGTTGCCGTGAGACACTTTGTAGATACAGTCTCATTTTCGGGTACCGTGTACAAATAATACTTTACAAACAAGCGATGAACCCACTCAAAGCAATTAATATGTAAAATCAAATTAAATCCGGCATAATTAGAAACGCCCCGCAATAGATAATATCATCGCTCCTATAATAATCAGAGTAATTAAATTGTCTGTTCTTTCCACGACAGTCGCTCCACAATGGGTTATAGAACCTCAAGACGTGTCAACACTTCTAGGAAATCCACTTCTCATAGAATGCTCAGCCAAGGGTTTCCCCCAGCCCCAGATAACCTGGCTCAAGGGGCAAGGTATTTTACCGCCGCTCTCTCTCTCAAACCTTCCCTTTTATCAACCAAATGCATGCTTAAACTTTTACGCTTTCTTTGTTTTTTAATAATTATGCTAAAAGCGTTTGCCCTAGCCACATAATTTCGGTAGAATTAGTTGCTTTGTCTCTGAAACGAAAACGTATTTTTAAAACTCGCCCCGCCTGTTTTGTTCCACAAAAAAAAATAATAAAACGGGACATTTACGTGCGGTTGAAAATAAATATAAAACTTGTTCGTATTAAAATTATTAAATTACAAGTATGGAGTGAAATTTCGTGACGTTTATAGTGAATAAAAATTAAAATTGAGCTTCCCAAGAACAAAACTGTATCTTCTCATTTTATGAAGCTTCTTTAAGCTTCAATTATGCAACGGAAAAATGCTGATTCGTACGACCCTGAACGAAAAAGTGGTAAATGTCGCCTTAACATAACCTCAAATATATCGGGAAACCACGTTCTTCACATTTTGAGGTTAGAATATCTCAAGAACCAGTCACAATTTGGTTACACGTGAATCAATTTCGGCACCAAATACCACGCAGCTTGAGTTACCCAAATAAGAACTCAAGATTTTGCCAGGCCACGTGATTTCAGCCCAAACACAGATACAAGAAGCCAATGCTCCTTACTTGCGCGCGCGGGTTGTTTCTAGCGCAATGGAGCATTTATTTTTTGGTCCCTTCTTTTAAAATGCTACTACTGATCTCATAATTTCCCTATAATAGTTAATGGTATATTTCATTTATCATCGGAAATGTCGGCTTTTTTTTCACTATAAACGCCACACCTTGAATTACAAATTAACATTGACTAAAACTTTACTTACCTTCAAATGCTACACTCATTAAGACCATCACGGCAATACAGGGTGTGGCGTGTATAATCTATAAAAATTAAACTACAACTTCCTAACTATATTTGTAATAGATAAGTCTTATACGAAAAAGTTCTTTTTTTGCGTTTTCTTTTTCGTAAGTTAAAGTTCAATTATGGATCAAAATATTTTCTCTGGAACGGTCCTGTCCTTGTGCTGTACGATGAGTTACGTGCTGTATTGGAGTTAGATCGGGTGACCGAGGTGGGCTCGACACAGGACCAAAGCATCCAATCCATCGCTGAGGAAACATTTCATTCAAAAATGTCGTTACTTCTCGAGTACTGTATGGAGGAGTCCCATCTTGAAAATAAAACATGCGTAGCAGAATTTGTAATGCCACATCGACCAATTCAGGCAAACAGTTTTGCAAAAAGTCAGCATTTGTTGGTCCATTTAGTCGTCCTTAGGGCAAATACATCGCCTATTATGCCGGCCCAAACATTTATCGAGAACCGATGTTGAAAATGAGTTTTCCTAATCGCGTGACGATTTTCATCGGCCCATATGTGCATGTTAGGGAAATTCACTTTATCGCGGGTAAATGTCGCCTCATCTGTTACACAAACATAAACAGAAAAGTCTACTTGATTGGCACATTGCCGTAAATACCATCTCCAAAAACGCATTCGTTGATCGCAATGCGGGGGTAAAAACTATTTGCAGATTATAGTGGTGCAACAGATGGCGCCTTAAGATGCGATGTACGATACGAGATGAGGTTCCTACTTGCTGTGCGAGTAGTCGAGTACTAATTGTGGGGTCTTCGTCAAGATTTTCCAACACTGCATCTTCAACATTATAGGCCGGTCAAATTCGACAATAAATTCGCAAAACATCATGTATCTCTGATTTTTTAGTATGTTGTTTGGGACCATTAGGGCTATCTATACCAAAGTTTGCAACTCTCAAAAAGATGTAGAAAAATTTTTACACACCAAAAACCGCGAAATTTTTGGACTCTGCTCTATATCTCTAAATCCATGCATTTTCCGTCGAAAGCTATTCTATACGTTTTTTAAGAGCATCAAATTTGTGACAAATTAAGCCCAACCGGAGCTCTGTAGGTCAATTGGTTACTGAATTACGGCACTTTGAAAATAGGCCAATTTTTCCAAAATTTTCTGGAAAAATATCCCTTTTATGTTTTTTTTTTGCGATTTTGAGAGAACTACGAGGCTTACAGACCCCGCTCTGAGCTTAATTTAAAGGTAATGAAATTGCCTACAAATTATATTCTACAAGTTCTACTCGTAGGATCAATGGTTTCGACGCAATTTCGATCCAAAGACGGTCTAAAACTAAAATTTTCAATTTTTGGAAAAACTGGCCTATCTTCAAAGTGCCGTAATTCAGTAATCAATTGACCTACAGAGCTCCGGTTAGACTTAATTTGTCACAAATTTGATGCTCTTAAAAAACGTATATAATAGCTTTCGACGAAAAATGCATGGATTTGGAGATACAGAGCAGAATCTGAAACAAGTCCAAAAATTTCGCGGTCTTTGGTGTGTAAAATTTTTTCCACAACTTTTTGAGAGTTGCAAACTTGGGTATAGATAGCCCTAATGGGCCCAAACAACATACTAAAAAATCAGAGATACATCATGTTTTGCCAATTTAGCGATTTTTTGTATACATTTTGACCGGCCTATTAGGGTTCAATTGCTGACCACGTCCTTCTCCTTGAGGCATAATACTTCCCGTATCTCGCAGCCGCTGAACGCACTGTAGGATTGTATTTGCACATGGGGGGGTGACGTTGTGGCCACCGTTCCCGGTACAACCTAGACGCCGCGAGCGCATTTTCTCCGACTGCACCATACACTAACACCATATCGACACGTTCGGAAATANGTTTTAGACCGTCTTTGGACCGAAATTGTGTCGAAACCATTGATCCTACGAGTAGAACTTGTAGAATATAATTTGTAGGCAATTTCATTACCAACCTTTAAATTAAGCTCAGAGCGGGGTCTGTAAGCCTCGTAGTTCTCTCAAAATCGCAAAAAAAACATAAAAGGGACATTTTTCCAGAAATGTTCCATAACCTTTCCTATCTTTTGTTTTTTGGTTTGGTAATGAAAAAGAAGGCATGAAATCATTTAAAAAAACGGTGAAATATATTTTAATAGAAACATAAGTAATCAAAAGTACAGTAACTTAAACAATCAATCAGTCAATCAAATTAGACACATAGTCAAATTCGTCAAACAGCTCCTTGCCACGATATATGATCAAAACAATGTCGAAAAAGTGATGAATGGGCATGCATATTCTCGTGCAGTAAGAGTCCATATCTTGCTTGGCACTGAAAGGTCACTCATACTGTATGCAGAAGACAATGAACATGTACAAAGTGTAACTGCCAAATTCAACTGTGCCCTTAAAAAACTTGAAGAAGAAGGCCCGACCGCAAAACTTTGGGTACTCTTCTATCGAATAACCTTACTCATGAAGCAATTCACTCAAGCCAAAAGGATGGGAGATTGGAACCTTCACCTTCAAATAATTAGCCAAATGCTTCCATTCTTTCGTTCGTCTGGACACTTCTTCTATGCGAAAAGTGCTCGTTTATATTTACAAGATATGAACACTCTGCAAGACTATCAATTGTTCACGAAATGATGCTTCACCATCCGCAGATCCGACAAATTTTGGTCAGGTCTGTGGACTGACTTGACAATTGAACAGGTATTGATGCGTTCAATGAAGAGCCAGGGTGGCCTAACCCATGGCAGAGGTATCTCTACAGTATGAGTGACGTTTCAGTGCCAAGCAAGAGCCTCTCTGTCTGAGCCTTTTCGTCGTCAGTGATGTCTATCTCGTTGAAAATCAAATGAGCCAGTGCACGGTTTGTGAGGGTATGGGCTCACACTGCACGAGAATATGCATGCCCATTCATCACTTTTTCGACACTGTTTTGAGCATATACCGTGGCAAGGAGCTGTTTGACGAATTTGACTATGTGTCTAATTTGATTGACTGATTGATTGATTAAGTTATTGTACTTATGTTTATATTAAAATATGTTTCACCGTTTTTTTAAATGATTTCATGCCTTCTTTTTCATTACCAAACCAAATTTGCGATTTTGAGAGAACTACGAGGCTTACAGACCCCGCTCCAAGCTTAATTTAAAGGTAATGAAATTGCCTACAAATTATATTCTACAAGTTCTACTCGTAGGATCAATGGTTTCGACGCAATTTCGGTCCAAAGACGGTCTAAAACTAAAATTTTCAATTTTTGGAAAAACTAGCCTATATTCAAAGTGCCGTAATTTAGTAATCAATTGACCTACAGAGCTCCGGTTAGGCTTAATTTGTCACAAATTTGATTCTCTTAAAAAACGTATATAATAGCTTTCGACGAAAAATGCATGGATTTGGAGATACAGAGCAGAATCTGAAACAAGTCCAAAAATTTCGCGGTTTTTGGTGTGTAAAAATTTTTCCACAACTTTTTGAGAGTTGCAAACTTGGGTATAGATAGCCCTAATGGGACCAAACAACATACTAAAAAATCAGAGATACATCACGTTTTGCGAATTTAGCGATTTTTTGTGTCGATTTTGACCGGCCTATTAGGGTTCACTTGCTGACCAAGTCCTTCTCCTTGAGGAATAATACTTCCCGTATCTCCCAGCTGCTGAACGCACTGTAGGATTGTATTTGCACATGGGGGTGACGTTGTGGCCACCGTTCCCGGTACAACCTAGACGCCGCGAGCGCATTTTCTCCGACTGCACCATACACTAACACCATATCGACACGTTCGGAAATATTAAATGCATTGTTTTCTCAGTTCATTGTAAAACTAGTTTGTGAACAAACTAAAAAATTAAGCAAAGTAAGAAATAATCGGCACGCTATTCTTATTTGTTACTTCTTTATAAAAATTACACTGTCACTATCGTGGAATTACAAAATAAAAACTTTTGTCTGGAATCTTTCACTTTTTAACACTGATGGGTCGATGGACGATGCTTAATATTTAACAATTAAGTGAATAATGAATTCAATACAAATACAAAATCAGTTGACTGCACACATTTTTTGACAATGTAACCTAACCTTCTTTTATTACTAGTATTAGATTATACCGACTTATAAGGTTGCATCTCGGGTCGCATAAAAGCCTTTCCAAAATTTTTAATAAATAACACAGGGTCGGCCTTCATTTTCGTTGAATAAATGAACTTTAATTTACAAAAAAAAAAACGCGAAGATAGAACTTTTTCGTATAAGACTTTTCTATTACAAATATCACCAGGAAGCTGTAGTTTAATTTTTATAGATTACACGCCACGCCCTGTCTATTGGCAATGTCTCAAAAATGTTACAATACAGTCTTATCTCATATCACATTTTTTTTTTGTGAAAATGGATGCATGCTCTTTAATTTAACAAACACCAAGCAGTTTGTGTAAAATTATGTAGTAATTATTTGGGGTATTGTTTGACAGAAACGTGTTAATTATGATGTGTCGTTTAGGCAAAACGACGTCGGATTACCAGCCGGTTTTGAGTCTACACAGCAGGGCGAGTCTGATGGCGAACGGTTCGATGTGGTTGGAAACTGTAAGTCCGCAGGATGAGGGACATTATTTGTGCCGAGCGACAAATGGTATAGGTTCTGGTCTAGGAAAAGTGATTTACGTCGGTGTGAACGGTAATGTATTGCATCTTTTATAAAAGGACCGGATCGTCACAGAGACACCCCTATAGCTTTCATGTTTTAAACAAAAACCAAATGCAGGTATATATCAGTCTTAACATATTCCATGAGATTCGCAATGCCCGCCTCACGGATCTCATCCCCCCCGACTACTAGATTAAACGTGTCACTTTTAAAATATCGACACGGGCGAAACCTTAATAACATTCTCTTTTCAGCATTCCGTTTGGAATAAATTAATTTTACTTTATGAATTAATAAGGCATATATCAACACTGGGAAAAGGTTTCGCTGCACTGACGCTGTCAAGTCATTTGAATACAAATTAGTACCAAAATATTGTAAACACTAATATAATTGAGGCAAATATTTAATATTCCTTAATTCGTTAATTATTATAATAGCACCTAATGAAAACCAATCTATTAATTTACAACAAACAACGATTTGAAATTCCTCTTATTAGAATGTACGTATCTGAATTTGCTGAAATAATAAGTTTCGTTAATTCAACATAAGATATATTAGCAGTAACTACATCTCTAGTACTTATGCCCTTAAATTTAGTTATAGTAAATAGTTTATTAAATTATAATAAATAAATTATTTGGTTAGCACAGATTTTTTTATTGTGCACAGTGTACGTTACGGAATTTTTATTAATTTCAATATAATATATATTAGCAACAACTATATTCTTAACATCTACAAGCTTACATTTAGTTGAGACAAATAAATGGTTAATTATTTCAGCATAACTGTTAAAATAAACCATAAGCGTATTGTTGCAAATCACGTCATCGTTATATTTTCGCTTTAGTATATTAATTTTTTAATTGTTTTAAATAACTCAACTATTTCAAATTGAAATTAAGCAATTGCATTTTTGTGTTAAATTTAAAAGCAACAAGTATTTCAAAAAGTTAAACAGAAATATATTCTGATTTTCTGGAAAGTATGTTCGAGTTGTATTAGTTACAAAACAATATATATTAGCAGCAAGTATATTTTTATTACTTACAAGCTTTATATTTAGTTGCGATAAATAAACTGTTAAATTAGAGCATAAGTGTGTTCCGAACCAAGCAGTTGTCATATTTTTTATTTTAGTAAATCGTAGTCTAATAAACTTTTGGTTGTGTTAAATAATTCAAACATATTTAATCAAACAAAAAACAAATAACTAGCCTTTTTTATCGTGTTTAATAAATATATTAATTTACAGAAATTGCACCTAATTTGAAAGTTCTGTGAATGTATATGGGATTCACTTCAAAATAGGATATATTAGCAACAAATATATTATTATTTATGTACAAGCTTAGATTTAATTGCGTGAAATAAATTTTTAATTACTTCTTATGCCAAAATTCAATTAAATCATAAGCGTGGTGTTCCAAACCAAGTCTTCATATTTTCATTTCAGTAAACGGTATGTCTAATAAACATTTACCTGTCTCAAATAACCCGAGTATCTCAATATGAAATTAAAGTTGCGGTTTCGTGACGAATTTTAAAGCACCAAAGTACTTCGAAAAGTTAAACAGATTTATATTCTGATTTTCTAGAAAATATGTTGGAGTTGTATTAGTTACAAAACAAAGTATATTAGCAGTAAGTATATTTTTATTACTTACAAGCTTTATATTTAGTTGCGATAAATAAACTGTTAAGTTAAACCAAAAGTGTGTTCCAAACCAAGCCGTTGTCATATTTTTGATTTTAGTAAATCGCAGTGTAATAGACTTTTAGTTGTGTTAAATAATTCAAATATTCCCATTTAATCAGACAAAAAAAAACAAATAACAAGTCTTTTTAATCGTGTTTAATAAATATATCAATTTACAGAAATCCTAATTTGAAATTTATGTGTATGTATATGGGATTTATATTTACTTCAAAATAAGATATATTAGCAACAAATATATTATTATTTATTTACAAGCTTACATTTAGTGGCGTGAAATTTTTAATTATTTCTGCATACTTCAGTTAAATCATAAGCGTGGTGTTCCAAACCAAGTCTTCATATTTTCATCTCAGTAAACAGTATGTCTAATAAACATTTACTTGTCTCAAATAATTCGAGTATCTCAATACAAAATTAAATTTGCGGTTTCGTGACGAATTTTAAAGCAACAAGTTTTGTGATATTTTAAACAGGAACATATTTATAATTTATCCGTCCGGAATTCCAAAGTGGCGGTGTACCCTGTGGAACGGGTTTAATCATTTAAAAACCCCCGTTTGGTCTCGGACTTTTTAATTGTGCACGTTTTCCAGAGCCAGCGCGATTCGATTTGCCAGCGAGGAACGTCTCCACGAAGCGGGGCAACTCGGCCGTACTGCTTTGTCACGTTTACGGAGATACCCCGATTGAAGTCGTCTGGACGCTCAACGGAAATCAACTGGATTTAAACAACTACAGGTAATGAAATTCTTTTATTTCCGCGCGGCAGGGAAGGAACCGCGCTTAGACTGCGGTCACACGACCCTAAATGTATAGTCGCACGGAATCGATTTAGAGTTAGGTTTAGAGAATAACTTTTTTACACAAATATACAGGGTGTCATTGAAGGTATTGTTTTAACTGGCGTTTGTAGCAATAAAAATAAATAATTTCGGAAAAGTCTAAATAAATTTTGTGACCTATGAAAAAAATTAACGCCAAAATGACCGGACAAAGAGCTGTTTTTATGAAAATAGTTTTGCCCATCCAAAATCCCTTGATTGATCTTTTTGGCGTAAGTGTTTTTTTCATTTAATTTTTAATTTTATTAACAAGTACGTACTTCCAGATACTGAGTTTGTTTACGGTGAATGTCAACAAAACGCTGTAGAGGCATCGCATCACAATTTATTTTTCTTGCGGATGCCGTATCATTTTCCGACAAAAAGCATGGACTATAGTCTGTTTAGAAATGAAAGAGAGTAATAAAAGCTTATTATGTATACAAATCGTAAATAAATGTAGTACTGGTGCTTATATTCAATATTTTTATATTATGTATTATCGGTATAGATGAGGTGTACTTTTAAAAAAACTTTGTGTGACCGGGTTGTACTAAATTGTAGCAGGTAGCTAAAATTTAATCCCCGACAATCCGTCTTTGTCTATGCCGCTTCAATTTCTCGGTCCATTTCTCTTATAAGTAAACAATATAAAAACAGCATTTCAAAACATGAGGCTACTTTAAGCATCATAACCGGGTTAAGAGGGTTTTTAGTAATTCAAATAAAATTATTCAATATTATTATCAAAATATTTATTTAAATTTAATGAATAGACTTTTATTCCACACAAAAATATATGTATTTTGAAAATTCAAATTATGGTGAGTAAATGTAGTGTTGTATAAATGTACAATAAAGAAAATAAAAAAGTAGGTATATTAAAATTCATCCTCTGAATATTCTGATGAATTATCTTCGTCTCCTAGATTGATAACGATAGGTTCCACAGTAACGTCAATTAAATTATCGAGTTCCCACATTTTCTCCTCTTCTTTTTGTACATGATGTATACATCTTTGCCAGTTATCTGCAGTTACTCGTTCCAAGGAATTTTTTAACAAAATTTTCACGTCACTTAATTTAAACGTCGTATTATTTCGCGCTACATCTCCTTTTACCTGCGCCCAGACTAATTCGATTGGGTTAAGTTCACAGTGATAAGGTGGTAACCGTAGTACCGTTATTTGGCGATTTGTTGCCATTTCATCGATAACATATTTTTTCTGATCTTTATTAAGATTGACAAGTGTCAAAAGTTCCTTTTTCACCATATTTGTTTCAAAAGAAATGTTTTTTCCGGATAACCATTGAATTATATCGGCTTTCCTCCAAGCAGTCGTAGGCGTCCGCTCGGTCTGCCGTGAATGGTAACTGGCATTATCCATGACAATTACAGACCCCGGAGGAATAAGATCCAACATCTGTGTAAAATACTCTTCGAAAACATCTGCGTTCATGTCTTCGTGATAGTCACCTGTATTTTTAGATTCAAATAAAAGTAAACCGCCATCTACAAAACCACTGGCACTACCTATATGTGTCACTATTAATCTTCGCCCTTTACCTGAAGGTGCCTTGAACCCTGTTGAAAGTCCATCCAAAAATGCTTGTCGAAAACTTTTTACATTTTTATCTTGCCATACTTTTGTTACAGTATATCCCTCGTTGACCCAAGTTTCGTCTAGATAATAAATATTCCTCCCTTCGTCACGGAATTTTCTAATTGATCTTAAGTAGGATCTTCGCCAACAAATAATTTCATCTTTATCGATAAGAACTGACTTCCTGTTCTGCTTTTCCCAGCAAAAATTCAACTCTCGTAAGACGGCCCATAATTTGCTTCTACTGATTTTTGGCAAATCGTTGTCCTCTGAAAGTTCACTTAAAATTTTGTTTAGCGTTGGTATTTCTTTTTTAAAATAAAATGAGTGTACTTTTCTGCGAATGACATTTTTGAAGAAATCATCTATAACGACTTTTGACCTCCCTGTAGATGATTTTGGGGGATTTACAGTATCTTGTTCATTTTTTGTTTCCTTTAAAAGTCTGTAGATAGTCGATTTTCCAATCCCTGTCATTTTGGAACACTTTTCCACGATGTCGTCAACACTGTTGGTAGGATTTTGGTGTTTCAATGCATTAAATACATTTAATATAATAATCTTCTCATTCTGAGACAGCGCACATCTTTTCACGCGTTTAGCAGGTACGTAATCTGATAAGCTCGACATTTTACCCAAACAATATTATATCCACTGGCACAATAGTCACTAAACACAAGTCGAATTTTACTCTACTGCACTAGCACGTCTTCGTATATTCAGCTCTAAGACTGGATTGATCTGTCACAATACACTGGCTCCTGCCCTATGATGTATCCAGTAAAATATACTAATGTACACCCATTACCTGTTAGCATTAGTGTTACCCGATAATTACCTGAAACGAAATATTACCACGCCCATGGCCGGTTCTTATCTCGGGGTTTTATTACTCTCTTTCATTTCCATACAGACTATAAGGGAAATTCTCGCTTTCGACAACTCCCGTATATGGAATGCATTAATCGATTTTAGTAAAATTTGCAATAACGGAACTACATATTTTACAAATGCCGAAATATTTACGGTTCTTTCAAACTGTTGATATTTGATTTTACGAGACAAGCGCTGATGAATCATAAATTCCATTACTGTATCCATTTATGGGTTGTCAAAATTTCACGTTACAGTACAGTGTGGTGACATTCTATACAAAAGTTAGTTTTCCGATATTTTGAATATTATTATTTAAAATAAAATATATTTCGTTCATCTCCATAACATATCGTTGCTATTTAGTATGCACCCAGGTGTTTTACGGTAACAAAAGGTTCAGCAAAACGATCCCGCACTTTTGCGCTTCGGAATATGTACAATCAATGGAATCGTTGGTTTTCTGCCGACGTCGCAGATAAAATTTATAGGGCTCTAAAATAAGTGTAAATTTCACGGGAAGCAAATAAAATAGTTGCTTGAAGCGGACGCCTTTTTAAAATATGCTGGAATTTATCAATTCCGTCAGTATTTCCAGGAAACTATTACTTCGAATCCAATAAAATGTAATCTAAGGGCACAATGTTAAATAGTTTTTCGCTACGTGACAAAACTTTATAGAAATCACCATAAACTTTTATGGGTATCTGTAAAAATTTGAATACCTCTCCGTGGAGCTCTTAAATTCTAAAATAGCTTCGTTTTTTTTACGAGACATAAGTTTTATGGAAATGAATAGGTACTCTGTAAACTACCAGTAACGGACACTCAATTTTGTTTTAATAACAAACTTTTTACGACTACTACCCTCTACCTTGTATCATGCGCTGCAGAATAACTTGGCCCGTCAAAAACCAGTTTGTAGTCTCTTTTAGTTACTTTATAACACCGAAACTAATAGCAAAATTTAAGAATCGAGGTCACTGCATTAAATTATTGTCTACGCTGTCACCGGGCAGCTCCCTAACTGGGTCGTATGACTCGTATGTACGCGCTTATCAGTTGCATCATTTTCAAATCGTCTGTATGAAAGGAAGTGACAGAGAACAAAACTTCAATGGAAAATGATTTTTCAAAAAATATGTTGCTTTTGTATGACTCTGAAACATGCTATTTTAGCCGGCATATTTTTTCAACATCACTGCGGACGCAGCGCTGAACATAAAGGGAATAAAGGAAATTTCAAGTGTTTTGTAAAATATACAGGGTTAGTCACTATAATCTGACAACTTATTGTGAGTTTTTTATTGAAATTACAAAAAAGTTTTTAATACAAAAGTTTTATGAATTTTTATAATACAGTATTAGAAAAAAACAATTGAATAACTGAAATCACTAAATTAAAGAAAAAACTTTTTTAAATGGAACACCCTATTTCATACTAAATGCAGTTCTGAAAATTAATGAGGATTATACGAAGTGCATCAGTAATAATGGCGGTCATATTGAGCATCTGTGACCATTTGTGATTTAGTTGGTTTTTATTAATTAGGGTTAAGACTTGTTAAAGTTAAGAATGATTTTTATTATTTTCATAAAATAAACGAATAACTTCAAATTTTTCGTTCTAACTAAACATTATTTTTTCGTTAAAATAGTTTGTCATAGGAAATAAATTAATGATGATAAATAAACTTCTGTCAAAGTCATTTGTTTGTTCCGCGTGTCTCGGGCATAGCCACTGCGATCCGTCAGACATAAATTTTCCTTCTGTTTTTCCAAAAATAGTTTTAAATTGAAATATGTCGAAAAGCCCTGAATCAAACAGTAACATATTATATATTTTTGAAAAGAGAAAAATTTAACGAAGCTAAGTATGCACTACTGATATATAGGGTGATCCATTTAAAAAAATTCTTTAATTTAATGATTTCCATTATTCAATTGTTTTTTCTAATACTATATTAGAAAAATTAATAAAAAAAAGCTAAAACTTTTGTATTAAAAACTTTTTCGTAATTTCAATAAGTTCTCAGGTTATAATGACTAACCCTGTACATTAGGGTGGCCCAAAAATAACGAATTTTTTTTTCGTGTCTCTTGTGAAAATATGTTAATTTATTATGTTTTAAGAGACCCCTCAAAAAATCAGCTCAAAAAAATGTTTTTAAAAATTTCCAAAATCGTCAAAAATTGATTTTTTTTAAATTTTTTTCTCGTTATTTTATCATTTTCTAGGTTGAAAAAAATCTCGATTCTGAAAATTTCAAATCGATATTTTAATTTCTAAAGGTCACTCATAATTATTTCAACTTTAAAAGTAGTGTACCTAAAATGTTTTCGAGCGACCTCTAAAAATATACCTATAATATATTATTATATATCAATGAGCTAATAATTTTTTATTGAATTTGATGAACAAAAGAATAGAAATAAATCACGAGACACTTAAAAATTTCTCGAGGCAAAATTTACTACCGCACTTATCTATTTATCAATATTTATAATTTTTTAATTTTTTAAATTTTAAGTGTCGTTATTATTTCTATTCTTTTGTTCGTCAAATTCATTAAAAAAATTATTAGTTGATATTTATTTTTAGGTCGCTCGAAAACATTTTAGGTACATTACTTTGAAAGTTAAAATAATTTTCAGAATCGAGATTTGTTTCAACCTAGAAAATGATAAAATAACGAGAAAAAAATAAAAAAATTCAATTTTTGACGATTTTGGAAATTTTTAAAAATCTTGAGGACCCCTAAAATTTTTTTTTTGAGCTGATTTTGTGAGGGGGTTCTTAAAACATGATAAACTAATATATTTTCACAACACAGACACGAAAAAAAATATTCGTTTTTTTTTTGGGCCACCCTAATGTACAGGGTTAGTCACTATAATCTGACAACTTATTGAAATTACAAAAAGTATTTAATACAAAAGTTTTAGCTTTTTTATGAATTTTTATAATACAGTATTAGAAAAAAACAATTGAATAATGGAAAAAAAATATTCGTTTTTTTTGGGCCACCCTACTGTACATAATAAAACTATGATAGATTTGAAAAATTGTTTAAATCATTTCAAATTTTCAGAGAATGTTTTTGTTTCTATTTTGAAAGCACCGTGTTTAGTTTGTGAATCTCTGTGTCAGTGACTTTTAAAATTGATCTAGTTTAGATGAACTGCATAATATCCATCCACCAGATGAGATATGACAAAAGCCAGCTTGGCGGGAAAATAACAAACGACCAACGTCAATGCGGAGAAATTTATTTTAGTTTTTAGTTTATCGGTTTACGCACGAAAAGGTCGAAATAGAATTTGCAATTAAATTTCAGCCGTCATGACAGAATTTGAAAAAACAAAGCTATGACATGTGTTTCTAAAGGTTAAAGGTACAATCCGTACGATGTTTGCTGAGATAGAATTCCAAGAAGACCCCTGCGTCACTCTCTTGGAATTAACCGCATTCGACACCAGAGATAGAAAGACATTGGCGGAAAATTTCAAGGCACGCCCCTGTCGCGGTAAATTGTTACAATAGTTCCGATAACAGAACTTCTTTTCTTGGAATTCTATATCAACAAATATTGTACGGACTATTCAAAGTAACACCCTGTATATATTAAAAATATGACATAATTTTTATGATTCGCCTTGTAAACGGAGAACGTTGGTAATCCGTGGGCATATTTCCGCGGGCGTGTAAGACCGCATTAAAATTTTTGCAGATATTCCATAAGCAGCATAAAGACCGAGAATGGAGTAAAATCTCAAGTAACAATCAGCAGAACGGATAGAGAGGATTCTGGGGTTTATAAATGTCTTGCCGAAAACGCTTTTGGCCGTAGCGAACACATCATTAATCTTGCCGTTCAAGAAAGGCCCGATCCTCCTAGTATGTTGGAAGTAGTTGAGGTTTCCAGCCGATCAGTGAGGCTTGCATGGAAAAGACCCTTTGACGGCAATAGCCCCGTTATCGGCTACTTAGTTCAATATCAAATTCTTGGCGCTAACCAGGGTGACTGGGAACAATCTCACGCTTTAAATTTAACCCTGCCCGCCAATACACAGACTGGGTGAGTATAGATATCAATCTCTTTTACCAAACCGTTCCCGAACACGCCTAACGAATCCTCGTTATGTATACGCGTATTCGTCTGTACAAGGTTGCAAAATGAAAATTCGTTTGTACCGGGTTAAAGCTGCACATAATTATACGTTTAAATTACTCTTACTAAATCATAAGAAAATTTTTTAAGCATAGACAACAATGTTAAGAAGCTCAAATCAGTAACGTAACGAAAGATGTCTGTTTGGTAAAATTTATAAAAGTTCTACTGAATCTTGCTTCGTGTTTCATAACTTTCATACATGGCGATATATTTGGACATAACACCAATAGAATAGGTGGTTGTCGTTACGAAGAAATATTTGTACACACAAAAAGAAACTCCATACAATAAAAAAATAATTACTTAAGAGACCCCTACGAACGCACGTTTGCTTAAGAGGGCTCTATAGCAAATAGCCAACAAGCAATACATTTTTATAGATTTTATTACACAGTTTGTCTAAATATGCATCAATGCACAAATAACAGACTTTCCTCCATTCTAACGCAGATTTTCTATAAAATGGAGTTAGTTTGAAACTCAAATTACTCATTGTCGTAACTTACAAATTTCTTTACACGAAAAAGTTATTTGAGTCTCAAATTCTAAGTCCATTTTATAGAAAATCTGCGTTAGAATGGGGGAAAGTCTGTGCATTGATTCACATTTAGACAAGCTGTGTAATAAGATCTATAAAAATGTATTGCTGGTTGGCTATTTGCTATAGAGCCCTCTTAAGATCCTATATAAACCAAGGCACTTTTAATAAAAATATTTGTCCATCAAATTCAAGGCAGTATTAATTGTCGAAAAGGAATCTCACTTGACCTGATGCTCACCAATTATGTTTGTGGCATTATCGATGCCTTTCATTAGATTTAGTTCTCGAGTTCTAATTTTCATGGTGAAAGCTATGAAAATATTTATTAGTAAATCTATAGGTGTAATCATTGCATTATTAAAAATTTTAACACTGCTCAGATGTGTCTGTACTTTTGATGCGAAATATGTTATCCGTAGTATTTTTGCCTCCTGATTCGGTATCAGAATTGAGCTATCACATCACAGGAATTTCCTAACCTCAAAAAACAGGTCAAAAATAACAAAAATTCCGGAAAAAATACAAAAAAATATTTTTTTCTATATTCAAATGGTCATTTATATGGTAAGACCCCGCCAAACGTGAATCCGCGGTCAAAATTGATGGTTCTTTTTATAACCTCAAAAAAACAGGTTAATTAAGGTTTAATTTTTAAAAAATAACAGATTCGCACCAATTTGGTATACCGTATCGCTGATCACGGATCCGAGGTCAATTTTGCAAAATTCAAGATGGCGGCGGCCGACCAAATTTTTTTTTAAAAATAACACATTCGCGTCAAATTTGGTATACGGGGGTTTTCGGGGTCGAATTCGAGGTCAGAATTGCGAAATTCATTTTGTAATACTTTTGTTTACTTTAGTACCCAATCATGTTTTAACTTTCTTAAAGTACATGGGTAATTGATTAAATTTTTAAAAACGAATTTTGTAAATCTGATCTCGGATTCGTGATCAGTGAAAACCCCCGTTTATCAAATTTGGCGCGAATCTGTTATTTTTTGAAAATTTGGTCGGCCATCTTGGATCCGCCATCTTGAATTTTACAGAATTGACCTCGGATTTGTGATCAGCGACCTCGAAAACCCCCGTATACCAAATTTGGCGCGAATCTGTTATTTTTTGAAAATTCGCGATATCTGAGTTTAATTGACCCGTTTTTTTAGGTTAGAAAAAGAACCTCAATTCTAACTGCGGATTCAAGTTCGGCGGGGTCGTAACCATATAAATAAATATGTACTTTTTCGTGAATTTTGCTATTTTTGACCTTTTTTTTGAGGTTAGGAAATTCCTGTGATGTGATAACTCAATTCTGACACCGGATTCGTGATCAGGAGGCAAAAATACTACGGATAACATATGTCGCATGAAAAGTATAGACAACTTTTGCATTGCGGTCAACTTAATGTCGCTTCGTTTTATGTCGAGGATCCAGATTTCGGTTTTGTAGTCCCACGTATTTAAGTATCTTTCACAAGCTTTCTCTCTCTATCTCTCTCTCTGTTCCGCCCATATCTGTATCTCTCTATATCCCTATACTTCTCTCTATCTCCATATTTCTTTTTATCTATCTTCTTTCTCTACCTCCATATCTCTAAATCTATCTCAACGTTTCTCTCTGTCTCCATCATTATGTCATTATCTCTTTATCTCCCTCTATAGAGCATATCTATCTCGTTATCTCCATCTCTATATCACCATATGTAATTCTCTATATCTATGTTTATCTTACTATATCCATTCGATTTCTCAGTCTCTCTCTATATCTCCATATCTTTCTATCGCTATATCGCTTTCCCCATATATTTTTCTCTCTATCTCCACAGCTAGAGAGCTATCTCCTTATCTCTGGATCTAGCTCCACATCTCTATCTCCATTATCATCTCTTTATTTCCCTATCTATCTATAAGCATATCTATCTACGTCTGTGATTATCTCTCTATATCTATCTCTCTCAATCTCTCTTTCTATCCATCTCTTTCCCTATGTTTCTATATCTCTCTGTCTTCATATTTCTCTATCTCCATCTGTATATCACCATACATATCTCTATATACCTATGTTTATCTCACTATATCCAATCTTATTTAAGTAGCTTTCTCCAGTCTCTCTCTATCACCACAGCTCTCTCTCTCTCTCTATCTCCATATCTCTGAATCTAGCTCCATGTCTCTATCTCCATCATTATATCCTTATCTCTTTATCTCCCTATCTCTCTGTCCCCATCTCTATAGGCATATCTATCTATGTCTGTGTTTATCTCTCTATATCTATCTTTGTCAATCTCTCTCTATCTCCATATTTTTCTATCTCTCTCTTTCTATGTTTCTATATCTCTCTGGTCTTCATATTTTTCTATCTCCATCTCTATATCACCATATATATCACACGTCCGGCAAAATTATGTGCGGTGTACGTCGCCGTAACGGCGCCGCATCTTACTTCGCGATCGTGTGAAGCGGGCCTTAGGCGACTGACCATAGAGCATTTCCTTCTAAGCGTATTGCGACGTCAGTCCAACTGCTAATGAAAATTTGCATGGCGTTAAAAAAGCCCCCTAACAGAGTTTGTACTCGTAAACAGAAAATTATATTTGCAATTAAAAATCGACGTATAAATATCGCGCAACGTTGTTGGAAGTATAATATCCAATGTGGTTATGCTTGTCTCATTTATAAACACAGCTCGGTCGTCCGCGGGGGCGCGGGAGGGGTTTCCCTTCCCCCTTGCCTTTTGTATCCAATGAACAAAGGCGCCATATATTTGGAAAAAAAAACAGCCGAAGTGATTTCATTCAAATTTGTCTGGCGGCTTTAACTTTTGATTATCCTTAAACGCACGTACAATATGATCCCGTATATTTTACATTCCACCTACACTCGTTATTTTTGTAGAGAAAAAAAGTTAAGTTGTATGAATATTTATGTAACGCCAGAATTTGTATCGATTCAAACAAATGGACATCGGAAAAGTATCAAAATAAACTGCTTTTTAAAGGAACGCAATGTAGACATTTACACAAATAGATTTTTATGGACGTATCCCTAATAGTAACGGAGATATGTGCCAAATCGACATTTGACTCTTTCGACCACGTCTCTCTTACTATAAGGGGTAAACCCATGAAACATTGTATCACTGTAATAGTAAAAAGGCGTTCTACTCAGACAAGCAAATATACAGGGTGTTTTATTGTAAATAAATAAAGGGCTGTTTATTATTACGCTTTTGCAACAATCTTTTGTTTAACTCGATATAAAATTTTTATTGCTAAAGGTGTCAAAACACCAAATCACTTTAATTTTTAATACACCAAATTTGTCAAAGTTAAATTGTTAAAATATTTGTTTGATTAGAACACAAAAAATTTAATTAGTGGGCTAGGGCCGCCCTGAAATTTTACAAGTGTTGGATAAATCACCCTGTACGTCAGTTGCATCGTTTTGGAAGACATATACAGGGTGATTCAGAACTTATCCAAAAAAAATTCTGGAAGAAAAAATTAAAAAGGGCAGTTCAAAAATAATTTAAAAATACATTTCTGTACGGCATCGGCACTGGAAACTGGTCCACTGTAAAACCTGACCTGGCACAGTGCGACCGTCACGACGGTAGTGATAATAACGGATAAAAACTTGAAAGAATTTCGCAAGGAAAGTAATAAATAGAATTTTATAGCACCTATTTTATATCAGCAAATTCAACTGATTTTGCCGTTATTATTATTAATTAATAAAATTAATTTGTGATTTTAAATAATAAAATTATTTGGCATATTTGATGTTAAAAATTTTGTCCACCGCCGTGTTTCTACAAATGCTCTCTTGTTTCGCCATAACACAAATGCTTCACCATAATACAAATGCTTTCTTGCTTGACCATCAACTCCGAGTTGCTATACACACAAGCCATTTTTGACACTAACTACTAAAAAACTATTGTAAACACTATAGCAACGACGATTGTAAAATCGGATTTCAGTATTCGAAGTCGCTGAGACCACGTAGCTCCAGCTATGTAATGGTTGAAAGTATAATTTCTCATACCGCATCTATTCCCAAATTTTTTTGAATAAGTTGTGAATCACCCTGTATTTACTTGATCATTAATGAAACGGATTTTTAGTGACATAAAAAATGGAAAGTGCAGTGGAAGTTTAAAATCTCTTTAATTCCTTTATTTTTGATATACAAGAATTCACATTCGACGCTTTTGAGCAGTTCCTCATATTTTCTCGGAAGATAGACCAAAAAGTAGGTACTACATTTTTATTTTCAGTTACGAATCGCCTNAACATTGTATCACTGTAATCGTAAGAATGCGTTCTGCTCAGACAGGCAAATATACAGGGTGTTTCATTGTAAATAAATAAAGGGCTGTTTATTATTACGCTTTTGCAACAAACTTTTGTTTAACTCGATATAAAATTTTTATTGCTAAACGTGTCAAAACACCAAATCACTTTAATTTTTAATACACCAAATTTGTCAAAGTTAAATTGTTAAAATATTTGTTTGATTAGAACACAAAAAGTTTAATTAGTGGGCAAGGGCCGCCCTGAAATGTTACAAGTGTTGAATAAATCACCCTGTACGTCAGTTGCATCGTTTTAGAAAACATGTACAGGGTGATTCAGAAGTTATCCGAAAAAAGTTCTGGATGTACAGGGGACTTACAAATATAATTTTGTAAAGAAAAAATGAAAAAGCGCAGTTAAAAAAACAATTTAAAAATACACTTCTGTACGGCACTGGAAGCTGGTCTACTGTAAAACCTGACCTAGCACAGTGCGACCGTCACAACGGTAGTGATAAAACGGATAAAAACTGAAAGAATTTCGCAAGGAAAGGAATAAATAGAATTTTATAGCACCTATTTTATATCAGCAAATTCAACTGATTTTGCCGCTATTGTTATTATTAATTAATAAAATTAATTTGTTATTTTAAATAATAAAATAATTTGACATATCTGATGTTACAACTGTTAAAAATTTTGTCCACCGACAAATGCTGTCTTATTTTGCCATAACACAAATGCTTTACCATACAAATGTTTTCTTGCTTCGCCATAAATTAAGACGATATCCATCAACTCCGAGTTGCTACACACGCAAGCCATTTTGATACTAACTACTAAAAAACTATTGTAAACACTATGGCAACGACGATTGTAAAATCGGATTTCAGTATTCGGAGTCGCTGAGGTCACGTGGCTCTCCACGCGTATTACGAGTGACGCTAGAGACTACAGTTGTCTAGCTATGTAATGGTTGAAAGTATAATTTCTCATGTCGCATTTATTCCAAAAATTTTTTGGATAAGTTGTGAATCACCCTGTATTTACTTAATCATTGATGCAACGGATTTTTAGTGACGTAAAAAATGGAAAGTGCAGTGAAAGTTTAAAATCTCTTTTATTCCTTTATTTTTGGTATACAAGAGTTCACATTCGACGCTTTTGAGCAGTTCCTCATATCTTCTCGGAAGATAGACCAAAAAGTAGGTACTACATTTTTATTTTCAGTTACGAATCGCCTTCGCGCGAAGAGGCTGTAATATCGAGCCTACAACCGGCCACCGTGTATACGATCCGCATGCTAGCAGTGAACAGTATAGATCAAAGCGCCTTTACCGAAGCCATAGTGGTTAAGTCTCAAGAAGAGGAGCCCTCTGAAGCTCCAAAGGATGTCCGCGTCGAAGCCGTGGGCCCTGGAGAGCTGTTCTTAACTTGGTCAGTGCCTCCGCGGGAGAGCTGGAACGGGGAACTATTAGGTGAGCGACCGACTGATTCCTAAACACTTTTATTCCCTGGAACGTCGGCTTTTTATAGGCCTCGCAACTCGGTGATTTTTTTTTCAGGGTACATCGTTACTTGGAACGAAAACGAGGGTTTAGCGAACAATTCGAAAAGCATGACAGTGAAAGGGTGGGCGACGAACAAACTCCAGTTGGCGGGTTTGAAGAAATTTACGCGGTACGACATAACGGTGCGCGCCTTTAATAGCGTGTCCGCCGGACCTTCCTCGGCGAGCATCATCGGCACCACCAAGGAAGGGGTCCCTGAGGCGCCACCGCAGAATATCGCCTGCACGGAAATCTCCTCGCAGATAATGAAGATCTCTTGGACTCCACCGCCGCTAAATTTTCACGGGGGGCTCATTTTGGGCTACAAGGTGTTCTATCGACCGATTTCCAGTGAAATCAGTAAGTACTTTTTTTATTTACGCTCAGTGCGAGGTCACACAGGGCGATGTGATAGCTACGTTCGCTAACCCCAAACAGGACCTCCCCCCTCTTTCTTAGTTAGGATCAAGGTCAATTAGGGGTCAGATGGAGAAAAAGTGCATTAAATCTCGGAGTTTGGGTCTTTTGGGTCGTTGAGTCCGAATCGGCGGTTAGTTTGTCCCTATCAGGCCATTTTAAGGTTGTTTCAAGGTCGTTTCAAAGTCAAATTGCGAAAAAGCTGAGCAATCATGTCCAACCACCTGTTATACAGGACATTAAGGTCGCTGGGTTAGAATCCGAGGTTAGTTTGTCTGTATCAGGTCATTTAAAGGTCGTCTCAGGGTCATTTCAAGATCAAATAGAAAAGACCAAGCAATTAAGTCTAACCGCCAATAATATAGGTTTTTGGGATAGCTGAATTCGAGGTCACTCTTTCTGCATCAGGTCTTTCTGCATCAGGTCATTTAAGGGTTATTTCAAGGTCATTTAAAGGTCAAACCAAGAAAAACCCGAGAAATCGATTACTGTTTTTGAAGTTTCTGAGTTTGAATCCAAGGTCCGTTTATATGTATCAAATAGGGTTTAAGGTCATGCCAAGGTTGATTTAAAAATTACATTTTCTGGTAGGATTAGTGAGGGGCAATTTTGAACCTCCCTGTATATCACCGAATCTTGTTGCAAACAAAAACTGACTGACCATATTAACCTATACAGGGTGTTCCTAAATAAGTGTCGCAACGGAACACTGTAAATTCCTCTTGAAAAAAGAAACATTCTCTTCCTCTTCTATTTTTCTCTCCGGGCTTTCGTTTTCGAGATACACGGTGTCAAAACTTTCATTTTTTTTTTAAATTTTTTGCCAATATCTTAGGAACCGTTTGAACTGCAGGTCTGAGTTTTTGTACACGCATTACCACTATTAATAGCTACTTTTTTACACCCTTCTCGAATTCATTGAACTTGCCAGTGGTGGACATTTTAAGGTATCGTAAGGGTTTTTCCCCCATAACTTTTACGCCACTGGAAAAATTGACATTTGACAGCAAATTCTGAAGCGCCAATGAATTTTACACAAAAAGAGTTCTCTTGGTTCACTGCTCGAAAGTCAACCGTTTTCAAGAAAAATGACTTTTTATAAACAAAAACAAACATTTTGCTAACGTTTCGAAAATCTTTTGTAATTCAGAAGATAGATAGTAACAATTTTAACTAAATTTAACGACATTTGCAACAAGTAGCTATTAATAGTGGTAATGTGTGTACAAAAGCTCAGTCCTGTAGTTCAAACGGTTCCTAAGAAGGAGAGAAAAATGGAAGAGGAAAACAATCTCTTCAAACTCTTTTCAAGAGGAATTTACAGTTTTCCGTTGCGACACTTATTTAGGAACGCATATTACCACGAATCAAGCGATTAGACTAATTGCTTGGCTTTTCTCAATTTGACCTTGAAATGATCTTGAGACAACCTTCAAATAACCTGATACAGGCAAAGTAACCTCGGATTCGACCTCAGCGACCCCAAAATCCTGTTTAACATGTGGTCGGTTTTGATTGCTCGGCTTTTTCTCAATTTGACTTTCAACTGACCTTGAAACAACCTTAAAATGGGCTGATACAGACAAACTAACCTCCGATTCGTACTCACGGACTCAAAAAACCTAAACTCAGAAATCCTTTGATTTAATGCACTTTTTCTCAATCTGACCTCTAATTGACCTTGATCCTGACTAAGAAGGAGGGGGAAGGTCCCGTTTAGGGTGGAATCGATTAGTTATTGGATATAAATAATAAAAAAAAAATAGTTTCTTTTTTTGGCCATAAATCAAGGGGGCCGAAAACCGGCCTAATGGACCCTCCCCCTTTGCAATGTGTTGGAAACTGTCTTGAACGAACACAGAGACTTATGTTCGTTAGTTGTAGTGAACATGGCGAACATAGTGTCTCTATGGCTTATCATGAAACAATCCTAATATACAAGGTGTCCAAAAAAGATCCGAATCACCCCAATAACTTTTCAAGATTGAGGTCAAAAAAAAGTTTCAGATAAAAGTGGTAGGATATTAAAAAACCGATATACATATTGGGTGACCTTGAATTTGACCTTGGCTTTAAATTTCAAGGCCAAACCAAGGTCAACTTGAAAATATTATATGGAACATTCTACTTTTATGTCAGCAATCGATGGAGCGACGAGTTGTACGTTCAACAATGGGGTTACAAATTTTTTCCTTCATGTCCTTGCGGGTCATTTAGAGGTCAAACTTATGTTTCTCAGAGCAACTCAACACAATTGTTTAAAGCAAAATTTGAAGGATTTTAAATAACACGTTAGATGGTGATCTTGGATTTGACCTAGCAGCTGATTAGAATCAGTCCCCAGAATGGACCTTTCATCGAATTTTAATTATTACGCTAACGACGAGTTGTTGTCATCAAGACCATCCTGATGGTTTTCAGTTAAATATTTCTACTAAATTCTATTTTATATTCATTATTTTTGCGAAAAATGAGTTTGGCCTTCAAATGATCTACGGGAACATCCCAGAAAAATTCTTTGTTCCCAGATTTTGTCATTTGTCAAAATTTGGCGCTGTATTGGTTGGTATGAGTACCTATGAATTTTGAGCAGCTTTTAGTAGCTTATTTCATCCCTTCCTCACAGGATTGCACAATGCCTGGATGGATGGGGCGCTAAAACCGAGGTCTAAACCGGAAGCCATGCAATATGCTCGCAAAAAATTTTTTTAACGAAGTTTTGAATTATTAAGTACGGATTTATTGTTAAAATGTGTTTTTATGACAAACGGATGTTTTACTATTAATCAGCAGAGGCTTTATACAATGCAAAATGGTAATATTTGGCCAGGCTCCGTACCTGGTTAATGAATGGTAACGTATCAGGGTTGACGTTCGATCACATCCCTTGATGAATCCGCAAAGGTTCTATAGCGAAATCTGTCTTAAGTTTAGACAATTGGCCTTTCTGGACTCTACCATTTTTGGATTGTCGCCGATTGGAACTGATTATCGACTTGTAGTCTAAACGGGGTACTTTGGTTTTGCCTTGCGATTCCCCAGTTCGAATTCCGTGATATTCAGTTTCCGAAATTTGAAACTGAGGCGAATTTCCTATTTTGCAGCGCATCGTCGGTGGCTCCGATGAAATTATTTTCCGCACCACGCCTTTTGCTTCTCGTGGAGGGTAGCGTCACTACTTTATCCAGAAGATTTAAAAGTTGAGCGAAAATTTGCTTAGCACTTGGAATACGTCTTGATATCTTACAACTTTTAACTGAAATTTTTTTGATAGAACTAGAAAAGTTATCGGGGGTTTGGGTCTTTCTGGAACGTCCTGTATGTAATAAATATATAAAACATGGCGCTCTGTACGACTATAATCTACGTAATCATATTTGCTATCTTTCACCGCAAGCATAGCCAATAAAACGCTCTGTGTAGCTTTAGCACAGTGTTTGTTAAATTTAAATCATTTAATTTTACTAAGGTTTCTAAAACATTATGTAAATGAAAATAGCAACACAGACACGAAGTTTTTCTGGCATGACAAAACACAGTAACCCTGTTTGCAGTGGATATACTAACAACGGGCGAGGTGAAAAGAACGTCAAGTAGCGAAACGTACTTACATGGTCTTTACAAATTTACGAATTATTCCATAAAAGTGTTGGCCTATACTGGAGCGGGAGATGGGATCATGAGTCAGCCTTTGTTCTGCACTACGGAGGAAGACCGTAAGCATACTTTTTTTTTGCCTAAATATATGTTTCTTAATGGAAAGTAACCCGAAGGCTATATAGTTTTGATTTCTTATGCAAATGTTAATTTAATAAACACATAATCTCAATCTGTGCATCAATTAAGTAACAATTTGAATATCCTTACACATAATTCTTTATATTTCATACATTTCTAGGCCACCCGGCTTTTTAACATTTTATTAAATTGATACTAAATGGCTGCATTATGAATAAATAATATATTTTAGAATTACTTTTCATATTAATGTAATTTTAAGGATTTCGAGACGTAAATTAGAAATTTTTTAGTTTTTACTTAATTTCGCAACCTTTTAGAAGATCGAAGACCTTGATTAATTTAATTAAAGTGCTAATACACACACTTGCATAGAAATTTCGTACGTACTGCAATTTTAAGGTTACCAATGCCCCTGCCGTGAATTTTACTACCGTCCTACAGCACACCGCGTATGTATTGGGTGTTGCCTGACGCTATAAAACCGGATACAGTCCTGCAATATTTAAACTACTCTTATAAATATTTTACCAGTTTTAATAATATATATTTAAGAGATGTATTACGTAACGACATTATCCGAGTGTATATCTAAAGTTTTACTTGCTCTCACAGATATAATAACTTAATTGGTCGGAAGAAACGTAGAAACGCATTTAAGTTGTTGCTCCATCTGTTTGGAAATGTGTAATAAAATATTTTAATGTTAGTATTACATTTAAAAAAAGGAATATAATAGTTTGCCCAATAATTTTAGAAAACGCCGCTAAATTTTTCACAGATTCGTTTGTTAACTAGGAAGGATCAGATGAAACAATGATTTAGTTATATAAACGTGTCGAAACATGTGATTAATTAAAGTAAAATATTGGGTGTTTTACGTGTCTTAACAGATAATTATCTAACATGGAAGAAATTAATTAAGCCCGACATATTCGGACGGTTTGAGGGTTTATGAAATTATCGGTGTTAAAACTGCGTTTTTGCGGTACTTTCATTCCAGTTACGTAGGTAGGTTGTCTGTCTTCCGTCATAGCCCCACGAGGAGCGCCATGGTGCGGATTTTGCTCGGGTCTGATACCTTAGTGTCCGAAAATCACTGTCTTTACACTGCTTAGAAGCACTGTTGTGTACGGCCTCTCTAGAGCGCCAGTACGTAAACATGCTGAAAGCTTGAAAATATTGCAGCGTGTAGACCAGGAAATATAGGGGTATGGATGCATAATCTTTTGTGAGCAGATAGCAAAAATAGTGTAGAATAATATGTACCGTCAGAAAAAAAGTTACAGTCGAAAAACGCGAATTTCTAATATGTGATCAACTTTTAAACAATGTCGCCCGCCTTTTTCAGCGTATTCTACACTATTTTTACTATCTGCTCACAAAAAATCAGCCTAATTGATGAATTATGCATGAAATGGTCATTTCGGTTTAAAATATTTATTACTGCTTTTTAAAATAGTAATACGATATAGAAAATGCATTGGTTGAGATGCGAATTCTTAAAAGTCTGTCGAGTACACACTCTGGCCAGGCAACTGTGCTCTGGTTAAATAATTGCGGAAACCCAGAGTTCACATGCGGGCACGGTGGATTCCGGTAGGTGGCCTCAGGATTTTTATCAGTGAAAACAACGTTCTTGGCTAGTATAGTCGTCCCTGTGGAGTTGTAGGTCTGAAACTAAGTGGTGATAATACCGACCCTAAGGTCTTGTAGAAGTGTGAATTTGAAGTCATCTGGATGTTGAATTTTTCGCCATTTTTTGGAAAGTCGTCGACAACCTCGGGGAAGGAGTGGCACACGCTGTCATCGTCGCTCGGAAGGATGAAGGACGCTCGGTGGCGATCTTCTCATCTGGGTGATTCGGCGGTTGAAATTTAGAAACTTCGGTGAAAAATTTCGAAACATCGGTGATTTTTTATATTGAATGTTCTGGAGCGATTTGATGGCAATCGCGACGTCTGCGGAGCCTGACGAGAAATCTTGGAAAGATTGGTGAAAATTTTACTTGCGAGCGGAGCTGCTCTACGTTTTTTTGTAGAAATATTGCGGTTATTTAAATCGCCCTGCTTACTGCGACACTACCTTGTTCTGCAGTTTCTATAAAGAACTAACAAAACGACTTCGAACCACCTACTGTTGTTTGCCTTGACTGTTATCACAATCTAAGCACGCCTTTTGAACCTGTTCCTGATGTATAATATTTTTTTAATTGAAATGCATTTGTTTCGTGTCAAATCTAATCTGAAAAAAAGTAGGGAACTATTATCGTTAACAAAATTGTTTCCATACACATTTTTTATGAACTTTATAATTTCCTAGAATAAATCTTTTGAATGTGTGAACACTTGACAAAGAAATTAAAAGACATTGACTGTTTTTTGTTACACTTTCATTGCCGTGCGCAAATTGCAGAAATACCTCAGTCAAGGGTGTTGCCGAAACGAGAAAATTTAATATTCATAATTTAAATTCTTTAACATGTAGGTATGCGCTGTTATCAATCCAATTAAGTCCCCGCTCGAACAACTTATAACTGTTAATCGCCCCTTAAAGTGTACGCCCGTTGGCATTCAACAACGAGTTTCACTTAATTCGTATACAAGAATTTTGCTCTACTTAAACGAAATGATAAGATTACATCACGCCGGACAATTCTTTTGACAGAAAAACAAACGTGGTCACGGCTGAATTTTGTCGACTTATTTATTTTAAGTTGGTCTCCGTCCAGCTTTCACCGGGGCCTTGCTCGGATTTGTTTATCTTAACGCCGGTCCGCATCTCTCCCAGATATTTCTAATTTCTGCATTTCGGTCGCTTTCATTAAAATAAAAGCGCAACATTCGATGGGGTTCGAGAATGAAAGTTCGAGGTAAAAAGGAAAAAGTTAAAATAAATAAAAACAGATATCATTAAAATGATTGTTTATTAAAATTTTACTTTACTACCTCGCAAATATTCCGTTGACTGACAAAAAATAAATTTCACCTGCACATTTCATTTTGGAATTGCCTTTGAAATAAAAAGAACATTTGTATACAGGGCGTACAATGTAGAACTCGTTAAAGTAAGAAAATTTTCCAAGTAACTTTTCTCGAGAAATTTCAAAACCAACGGAAGTCGGACCTGCCTACGGATGTACAAAATTGTTAACACACTGAGGAAATGGGTTAATTGGTAGAAATCAAACTTATTAGAGCCAATTAAACCATTTAATTTGTATTTAGCCCGTTAAACATTTCGTTGAAGTTAATAAGACTGAGTTAACACATTCACACTTCTCGGCATACATGTACAGGCTGGTCCATTTTCGGTGGGATTTCAGGGTATCTCAGAAACTAGTAAAGATATGATAAATCTAACACCACGTTCTTGAGCTCGATTTTCATGGCAAACTCGACTGTCAAATCAGAAATTTGCTATCTTCATTTGTTTCTGAGTTACAGGGCGTTTCTCGTTGTTGTGACATTTTTGAGCTGTTAAATAAATTACAGTTAGAGTGAAAACTGCTCAAGACTAATTCTTTGGCGTAGAATTGAATGCCGGTATTAGATTTAGTAGGTCTTAAAATTCCGGAGTTATGACCCAAAGTTATATTTTTTTAAATGGAAATCGTAACTGACCATGGCTTAAAAAAATAAAGATTTTTTTTCGCTTTATAGCAATATATCACATGCTATAGTTATTTTTACAAACACAGGAGATACGGGGTGTTTTATATATAAATTCGATCCTACATTTTAATATGGCTAGCTAATGGCTAGCTATGAAAATACATACAAAACTATAATTCTTACTTTTACAAAATTCATATCTATTGTAAAAATATGACGTTTATTTAAAATATATATTACAGATAAGACAAGACAGGGTTTTCAAATTTTTATTCCACTTCAACTGAAGGTACAATATTAAACGTAAATTAAACAATAGTAAGTACCTACATCAATAAAAACTTTCAAAAATGATAGCTAAATGTTCAAATTGCCATACCTCAACTGTCGCACATTTCGTGCATCTTCTGGCGATGCTTCGGGTTCCATTCATTAAACGTATATTAATGTCTTTTAGAAAACCCCAAAGGAAAAAGTCCAACGGACTCAAATCAGGTAACCTAGTTGGCCATTTGATCGGTCCGTTTGTTCCTATCCACCTATCTCCTAAAATTTCGTTAGTATTATATTATCATACGATTTTTTTTTGTTGTGCATTTAAAATAAACGTAATCTTTTGTAAAAGTAAGAATTATAGTTTTATCTGTATTTTCATAGCCAGCCATATTAAAAAGGAAAAAATATATAATTTATATATAAAACACCCCATATCTCCTGTGTTTGTAAAAATAACTATCGTCATCTTCGTTATTTTAAATGGAACACCCTGTATATTATTGCAATTTTGGTTTTTACGTCAATTTTTAGGTAAACTTTCATAAAGGTTTCCTATTCTTAAAATTAACCGTTTTTGATGTATTTAATTTTTTTTCAAAAAAATTAAAAAAGCACTGCCTAATTCAAAGAGATGTGTATTGTACAGTAATAAAGTTAGAACGATAAAATTTATATGGGACATAACTAAAACCTAAGCTTTCCTGCCATAATTTCAAAATGACCTAATTTCATACAGGGTGGTAGAAATTTAATGCCGAATTTAGTCAACTTTAAACCATCTTAACTTATTTTTTTTTAATGGAATACCCTGTATATTTTTGCGCATCCTAATGAACAATATTGTTCTCTTTCCAATGGTATAATGGTTCCCTATACCTATCTTTTCTGGTTTTTAAGGTATTTACATTATTTCTTGCGAGGATGGCTGTGAAATTTTTAATAGAATCTCAAAACAAGCACCTAATTTGTCACCAGTTTATTGTTGTTAATTTAACACATACAGTGAATATTTACTTGAGTATTATTTATCGTTAAAGAATGGCAAACGTTAACATTTATTCAAATGCTGACATTCTAAATTTATTATT